ATCGAGTGTAGTACTGGCCACACTGTTTATGGGACCAACATTCACTCTTTCACAACAGTATATGACTGAATGTGGAAGAACATACGCCTTAAGTACAACTTCAGTTACATTCTCACCTTCCGCCCAGTGACTTTATGTACCGGCAAACTCGTACTCGGGTGATAAACATTAAGAGAGTGAGGTGCACAGTTAGTTACTCTCGAGGGCCGCTCGGTAAGTCATTGCCTGACCTGGGTACAAAATAAACAGACTTCTTAGTACGAGATCTATCTGTTGATACTACACAGTGAACCGCAGCGTGACAGGTGAGTTAAGGTTAATGATAGGCATAGCTAGGTTAGGTTAAGTATAGTTAGATTAGGTTAGGTTAAGTATAGTTAGATTAGGTTAGGTTAAGTATAGTTAGATTAGGTTAGGTCTTATTATATTAGTTTATGCCATATTATATTAGGTTAGGTCATATTAGATTATGTTAGGTTAGGTTAACAGGGGTGAGGTCAATTCGGTTTTGTCAATTCAAATCCAATTCCGACAAAATAAAAAAATTATCAATTCCAATTTAATTCATAATTGATCCCGTCCCTTATAGTTAGGTTAGGATAGGTTAGGTTATGTCGTGTTAGATTAGGTTAGGTCAAGTTGTATCTGATATGGTTAGGTTAGGAATAGTTAGACTACTTCACGTTAGATTAGGTCAGTTACTGTCAGGTCAGGTCATACCTTCGGCTAGAACATACCCGGGTCAGCAGCCGCAGCCTGGCGGTAAATATTCGTCCCTTGATCGCGGCCAATAATAATAATAATAATAATAATAATAATAATAATAATAATAATAATAATAATAATAATAATAATAATAATAATAATAATAATAATAATAATGCACACCAGTCCTAATGATCCCCAACTTAACCTAACCATCAGACTGGGTCCCGGTACCAACAGACAGTACCAAGTCTCTACAAAAGGACTCAAACCCATTTGGTTTCCTATTCATGAGTGTAGAAATTGACATTACACTACAAAACGCCTCCAAACCCCCATACACCCCCTCCAACAGCTTTCAGATAATCATTCACTCTGACTCCACCTTCCCTCCCAGCTATGACTTACAGCCGCTGAGAACCACTGTCATCACACACCTAATAAACCACTCGGGCTCAATAATCTCTTTCACACACTGTAAACACTCTTCATTTCTCTGTTGGTTAGTCTATACATCAGGTGTTGTGAGAGTGGGTAGCTGCCTGATTGGATTTTGTAACTTTTAAGTACGAAAACAAACAGATGTTGGCCTAGGGTGTATACTGTACAGGTGACACTCTGGATTGTAGGTCAAATGGTCCACAACATAACCTAACTTAACCTAACCCAACCTAACCTAACTTAACCTAACAGTTTACGTTAGAATGGATCAGAAGATATTAGGACGGAGCTAGCCATCCAGTCGCCGCCACACAGCACTAATAGAAGCTTCACTATCAGGACCGACACGAAGGGAGTGTTAGAAGCGGTGTCCTACGAGGGGGCCACACCTGAGAGTTACTTCATTCTACAGCTTAAAGAATAACGTCTACTGTACATCCTGACTCACAGTACGAGCTTAAACACCACACACACACCAGCAGCCTCTACTGCCGGTGGGTCCTGGTCCTTCTTGGAGATCACATACTGTACACAAGAGGCGCTGGTGATATAGCCAACCAAGACAACAGTTCACACCATACAGTAACTATACGTTACCTAAAGGGGTTTGGTAATAGCCTCGTTTAACACCCCCACGCGTCAACTGTAATTACTATATAACTTAGGAAGTCCTCGCTGCCATTAGGTAGATAAGAGGTACCAGGTGAGGTGACGGCTACACCTCGTACACACTGTCAACCCCCTCCACACACACACACACACACACACACACACACACTCGGTATTAATATTTTTTACTCCGTGGAAGATGTACACCCCCCCCCCTAGGGTGCCTCTCTCCTGTCAACAGTGGCAGTCATTTGTCTCCCATACACTCTCTCGTGACAACCAGGCCAATGTAAACATGTAATCATCACCTCCTCCCTACCTGTTGTTTTGCTCCCCCTTGTTTATACCTGTACACTTAACTGTACCGTTCCTTACCAGGACTTACCATTACACTTAACTGTTAAGTCATACCAACTAATTCTAAATTTTATTATTATCGGTCTTGTCAGATGTTGATTATACCTACCAAGTTTGTGTGCAAGTCCATTAACCTGTTTTCTGGTTATTTTAGGGACACAGACAGACAGACAAAATTAAAAACAATATTCTGCCCTAGAGTCGCAGGCAGGGGAGTAATAAACAGTATTTCCATCCCCCACGTAAGCAAATCGTCAGCGCCGAGGGTCAAGAAATCTATAGGGGTCATGCTGAGTAAGTCTACAGCTGATAGGCCTTCACGTGACACTCTTAAGGTAACTAGACAGCCATATATAAAGACAGGTTAACAGACACACATACAGCTAGAGAGACAGACAGACAGTTACGAGTACTAAACCAAAACACAAAAGCCTCCGAGTTGATAATATAGGCAGCAGATTACTGAGTAATTGTTGATGGTGTCCCTGTACACGACCAGGTGGGGAGGAGGGAGTGGGGAGTTAAGGGTCAAGGGGAGTAAGAGAGAGAGAGAAGGGGAGGGGAAGGGGCCACCGCCACAGGGATCCCCACAAAGGTGAACATCACTGGATAGGCAGAAAAGGTGAGATATTCAGTGGTGGCTGGTTTACAGGCCGTGAGCCTGCAGGCACTCTCACAGGAGTTCACACAGCACTCCGACACGAGGGTGAGGGAGACTGCACTGTAGGTGAGGAGACTGGGAGGTAGACGAGACTGAGGGTGAGGGAGACTGGGAGGCACACTAGAGGACTGGGAGGTACACTAGGTGAGGGAGGACTAGGGTGAGGACTACACGAGGGTGAGGGAGACTTGACAGGTGACTGGGAGGGGGTGAGGGAGACTGGGAGGTACACTAGGGTGGAGACTGGGAGGGAGGGTGAGGGAGACTGGGAGGTACACACTGGGAGGACAGGGGGTGAGGGAGACTGGGAGGTACACGAGGGTGAGGGAGACTGGGAGGTAGGTGAGGGAGACTACGAGGGGTGAGGGAGACTGGGAGGCACTAGGGTGGGAGACTGGGAGGCACACGACTGGGGACAAGGGTGGGGGAGACTGGGAGGCACTAGGGTGAGGGAGACTGGGAGGACGACTGGGAGGTACACTAGGTGAGGGAGACTGGGAGGTACTAGGGTGAGGGAGACTGGGAGGCGTGGGAGGTACACTAGGGTGAGGGGAGGACACTACGGACTGGGTGAGGGAGACTGAGACTGGGAGGCACACGAGGGGTGAGGGAGACTGGGAGGACTGGGAGGTACGACTAGGGTGAGGGAGACTGGAGGTACACTAGGGTGGGGAGACTGGTGAGGGAGACTGGGACACTAGGGGTGAGGGAGACTGGGAGGCACACTAGGGTGAGGGAGACTGGGAGGTACACTAGGGTGAGGGGAGACTGGGAGGCACTAGGGTGAGGGAGACTGGGAGGCACACTAGGGTGAGGGAGACTGGAGTACACTAGGTGAGGGAGACTGGGAGGCACTAGGGGTGAGGGAGACTGGGAGGTACACTAGGGTGAGGGAGTAGGGTGAGGGAGACTGGGAGGCACACTAGGGTGAGGGAGACTGGGAGGAGGTGGGAGGCACACTAGGGTGAGGGAGACTGGGAGGTACACTAGGGTGAGGGAGACTGGGAGGCACACTAGGGGAGGGAGACTGGGAGGTACACAAGGGTGAGGAGACTGGGAGGTACTGAGGTGAGGGAGACTGGGAGGCACACTAGGGTGAGGGAGACTGGGAGGTACACTAGGGTGAGGGAGACTGGGAGGCACACTAGGGTGAGGAGACTGGGAGGTACACTAGGGTGAGGGAGACTGGGAGGCACACTAGGGTGAGGGAGACTGGGAGGTACACGAGGAGACTGGGAGGCACAGGTGAGGAGACTGGGAGGCACACTAGGTGAGGGAGACTGGGAGTGGGTGAGGGAGACTGGGAGGTACTAGGGTGAGGGAGACTGGGAGGCACACTAGGGTGAGGGAGACTGGGAGGCACACTAGGGTGAGGAGACTGGGAGGCACACTAGGGTGAGGGAGACTGGAGGACTGAGGAGACTGGGAGGTACACTAGGGGTGAGGGAGACTGGGAGGTACACTAGGGTGAGGGAGACTGGGAGGCACACTAGGGGTGAGGAGACTGGGAGGCACACTAGGGGTGAGGGAGACTGGGAGGCACACAGGTGAGGGAGAGGAGGAGGTGAGGAGACTGGGAGGACACACTAGGGTGAGGGAGACTGGGAGGTACACTAGGTGAGGAGACTGGGAGGTACACTAGGGTGAGGGAGGGAGGCACTAAGGGTGACTGGGAGGACTGGGAGGGAGAGAGGCACACTAGGGTGAGGGAGACTGGGAGGTACACTAGGGTGAGGGAGACTGGGAGGTACACTAGGGTGAGGGAGACTGAGAGGTACACGGGTGAGGGAGACTGGGAGGTACACTAGGGTGAGGGGAGACTGGGAGGTACACTAGGGTGAGGGAGACTGGGAGGGTACACTAGGGTGAGGAGACTGGGAGGTACACAAGGGTGAGGGAGACTGGGAGGTACACAAGGGTGAGGGAGACTGGGAGGTACACAAGGGTGAGGGAGACTGGGAGGTACACTAGGGTGAGGGAGGCTGGGAGGTACGCTAGGGTGAGGGAAACAGGGAGGTACACTAGGAAAGGGAGGGTCTACTTGCATTAGGGTTGTGGAGGAAGGGAGCACCTACACTAGGGTGGGTGATGGAGGGTGTATCTACACTAGGGTGGGTGATGGAGGGTGTATCTACACTGGGGTGGGGGAGGGATGATGTACCTACACTAAGGTGGGGGAGGGAGGGTGTACCTACACTAGGGTGGGGGTACACAGAGGCAGCTTTACCTGTGTAGGGTGTACTAGGTGTAGCCACAAGACACCACCACACCATCTTTCGACTCCTCTCACCTTTAATCTCACGCTTATATCTAAGTGATTGTTCATTTCAACATGTTTAACGGTGAGACGTTAAGAATGGTGGTCACTAAAGTTTCATTTCTCATTAGAGCAGAGTGAATCAGCAGGAGGTCTGGAGCTCCTCAGTCAGCCAGGTGCACCAGGCTCTACAGGTGAGACAGGGCTTCCTCCATCTTTATTTCCCCATCAATTTTTCCCCTCCACTCTGAGTGATGGTGACGACGCACTTGACACCAGCGACAGAGAGACTTATAAACCACAGTCCTCAACCTCATAGCTTCCAGACTTGGACTGGTTTAGTGTTTAGTGTGAGTCTGTAAGGCTAGGAGCGCGCGACTAACAGTCCTCCCGTACAGAGGGTGCGACCCCTACTAGCTGATGCTGTGGCGGGACCTCCACCACCACCTCCGCCAGCAGGGGGCGCGCGCACCATCACACTTTGACCTGCCTACCACTCTCTTAAGGGCACTGAAACTTCTTTACTACTACACTGCTGGCAGGGTGTGGGCGTGGAAAACACGTGCTCGCTCTCACTCACACACACACACACACACACACACACACACACACACACACACTGACATTTAATCATATATAAATAGAGTGTAAACCGAAGTGCTTATACAAGCTTACACTGTGACCCATGGCCTTGACCTTTGACCTTTTCGAACTAATTATCACTCGCGCACCCTTATATCTGAGGGTCAGTGTGCCTGTCCTTGGTGTGAGGCATCACAGGTAGTGTTAGGATATCTGGGAACCTGATCCAAACACATCACGACACCCTCCCAACCCAAGCCTGACCCCCCACCTATAAGGAAGGGAGTAATATTATCCCTCACACTCATGCCTACTTTACTTATTACCATTCCGAGGGACAATACATCTTGGAGGATTCTGATAACGTTGTGAACCCCAGCCACCAAAACACACTCTGCACTATGTCGTGATTATCTAATAATGATGTAACCTGTTATGTCAAATAGTGTAAAACTTGATTGAGTAAATTGTTTCGTGAATTTATTAACAAAACAGTGACACCCTTTCCTAGATCTTATTGAGAACAGGAAGTATCAGCGCTCGATTTTTGAACTCTGGGTGTGTGTGTGTGTGTGTGTGGAGGCGATGGCTGGACAGCGGATCCGTCGTCCAGTAAGGGTGGACGGACTTTGCACCATCCACCTTGACTGTAGCGAGAACCTTCGTCCGGGACTGTACATTAAGTATCCATCCTGTATCTGGGTGGGCTGGGGGCGCCTCACTCTGTGGTCTGCCACGACACTCGGACCAACGACCGTTAGGTCAGGAGGTCAGAGCTATATTCACTCTGCCGTTGCTCCCCGCCATGTATATAGTCACTACCAAAACTGATATATTCAGGTGTGTGTGTGTGTGTGTTATGCGAGAGAGCGCAGGTGTATGTGGATGATCCATCGATGTTTGGCAGGTCAGCACGGCACAAGAACCAACTAAACACGCTGGTCACCTCTACAGCTACATCGTTTGGGACTCCAGACTTACCCGCCTGGCGCCCCTCACCCCGGGCAAGGTACGGCCTAACACCACACAACAGTGACGAGAACCAACACCAAATATACAAATAAAATCAATATTCCATCATGAAAGTTCTTACGTTGTCTCTAGTTAATAAACTTGGTAAATTATTTTCTCTGACGTCTGACTTAACAGAAACGAAACTATTTATTCATATTTACAGAACGAAGCACCAGACTCTCTTTAACGTCTAGCATCGTCCTCCTGCCTTCATTAATATAAATAATACTTATTTTGTATCCGTGTATACATATTGTACATGTATAGAAGTATTTCTGTTGGGATATATTCTGATTAACTTTTGTATACACTGTTATACAACCGTCACCGCTACTGTAGAATGTAGGCACCAGCTTATAGTTCCGGTACAGTACATTCCAACTTTATAAACACAAACTTTAGTCGTTTATCTATGCATCAGCGTTAGAGGCACAACATATGACGGGTGATTACTGATCGTAAGTAAAGCGGATATAAAGACCACCAATAAACATCACTATAACACCCAACCTATAGGTCCTTCCTTGCTACGTTGAACACCGCGTCTAAGGGTGGCAAGACACTGTTCAGCCTTTCTTTTACCTACTGTATATATCTCAAATTGAGGGCGTTTTGTGTATACTTTCTATAATATGTGGATATATATACTGGCTATAACAAACACAGTATAAATTGAGAGTTTAATAATCTCAGGCTAAGTGATCTCTGTAAGAGGATCAGAGTTTAGGGTTCAGTAGTGAGTCACACACACACACACACTGGCTGTCAATCACTCACCACATGTGCTCACCTGCTGGCGTCGTCAGAGAGAGAGAGGAGAGATAGTTTATCAAGCCCTTGTGTACGGGGTCCTCACTCTGCTAAATAAAACCGTCTTGTGTTATCCAAATAAAATATCATAAGTGACGTCCCAGAAGTGAAGGGGTTGAAGATCTAAGTTGTCACCGTTGATAGCATGAGTGCACATTGTAGTGACAACTAGCCAGACAGAGCAGAGGGAGAGCTGGATGAGTGGACACAAAGACGTAAGACCCAACATTATTATCCAGAGTACAACCACTCGGCAGCACGAGGGAGCCAGAGCCAAGCGGGGCGTACTGTACTGTACTGTACTATTCTGTACTTACCACAACACTCCCACATCTTTAAGAGCGGCTCCCGGTGACCCGCATAAAGGAACCGGATCACTCACTGTACTTGTGGCGAGGCACCTTTAACACCCCCACCTCCACCCCCTCCAACCCCACACACATATCCCTACAGCCCCCCACCTTCCTCCCTCACACACCCTCGGGACCCGGTCTGGAAGGGCCTTATTCACTCAGTTTTTACTCTCAAACTTGTCTCAGACTCAAGTTTGGTGATGAGGTGTTGATATACTCTGTCCTCTTCAAGACCGAGTGTTGTTACTGTACTACTGTGTGTGTGTGTGTGTGTGTGTGTGTGTGTGAAGGGGTATAAGGGCTGGTGTATTTATAGAGTGGTGTGTGTATGATGTGGTGAGGGTATGGTGTAGTGTGTTTACAGTGTGTTGGAGTGGTATGTGTACGGTGTGTGATGTATGTAGAGTGTATGGTGTGATGTGGTGGGATGTGTATGTTATATGGTGTGTACAGTGTGTATGGTGTGATGTGATGGGATGTGTACGATATATGGTGTGCACAGTGTGTATGGTGTGATGTGGTGGGATGTGTACGATATATGGTGTGCACAGTGTGTATGGTGTGATGTGGTGGGATGTGTACGTTATATGGTGTGCACAGTGTGTATGGTGTGATGTGGTGGGATGTGTACGTTATATGGTGTGCACAGTATGTATGGTGTGATGTGGTGGGATGTGTACGATATATGGTGTGCACAGTGTGTATGGTGTGATGTGGTGGGATGTGTACGTTATATGGTGTACAGTATGTATGGTGTGATGGGATGTGTACGTTATATGGTGCACAGTATGTATGGTGTGATGTGGTGGGATGTGTACGATATATGGTGTGCACAGTGTGTATGGTGTGATGTGGTGGGATGTGTACGATATATGGTGTGCACAGTGTGTATGGTGTGATGTGGTGGGATGTGTACGTTATATGGTGTGCACAGTATGTATGGTGTGATGTGTACGATATATTGTGTGCACAGTGTGTATGGTGTGATGTGGTGGTATATGCACGGTATATGGTGTGTGTACAGAGTGGGAGTCAGGATGGTGTCAGACACGTTGTAATATTTACCCAGTGTAGTGTAAACCAGGATGAAGTCAACACCGTGCCTAAGAATACACACACACACACACACACACACACACACACACACACACACACACAATGCCAACTACTCTCACGTCAACACAGGGTGGGGGCCCCAACACCTCTAGCGGAGTCATTGTGTTTCAGGTAAAAACATTCACAAGCTTTTGGATTCCGTGTTTCCCAGAGGCAATTGTGTCTCATGAGGCGTGTGGCCTCACACCCTCCACCCCCTGATACTGCCTCACACCCTCCACCCCCTGATACTGCCTCACACCCTCCACCCCTGATACTGCCTCACACCTCCACCCCTGATACTGCCTCACATCCTCCACCCCCTCATACTGCCTCACATCCTCCACCCCCTCCTGCTGCCTCACCCTCCACCCCCCTCCTGCCTCACCCCTCCACCCCTCCACCCCTCCTCCACCCCCTCATACTGCCTCACACCTCCACCCCCCTCACACCTGCCCTCCCACCCTCCACACTGCCTCACACCCTCCACCACAAACATACATTTAAGGGCCTTGGTAAATATTGGCATTCGAGCCCTGGACTGGAGGACCGACTGACATTAGGAAAGATGGATGGTTATTAGGAGACGTGATTAGTGTGAATTATGAGAGAGACATAAAACGAGGAGGAGAAGGAGGAGACACGAGAAACAGAAGAAGGTGACTAGGAGAGAGTGAGAAGGGCAGTGTAGGTAATGGTGCAGTTTATATATAGTTTATTTATAGAGAGTAAGTGTTTAACATAACGTGAACCAAATGTATTTCCTTATTATAATACTTTATATTGTACACTCTTATAGTTCATTTCCGTGTCTGTCAATAATGAATCATATCAAGAATTCCCATCTTAATGAAATTCGTAGAGGACAAGACTTTCACGTACAGAAAAAACAAGGGTAAATTTAATAACCAATATAAACACCTTGAACAAAATTATATACTTTCTATTACCACATTAATAGTCCATTACGAATTACATTACTCTGTTCGTAGATATTCATTGGTTTATTAACTTGGCGCGGCTTCCTGGTGCTATGACGACTATGAACAACCATCCATATACAATAATCTGTATTGAAGACTAGAAAATAGAATTTTATTTCCTCTTTAGATGTTAATTTCTGGAGTTATAATTTACGATGCCTTTTTCAGACATTATAGCACAGCATTATAGCTGTGACGGGGGGGGGGTTACATAAATTTAGTGTTGACAGTGACGTCATTGGGATACTATGTTACTTATTATTAAGTCGAGACACTTTATTGGTTTTTGGGCGTAATTATAGCTTAAAACGGCCGTACAGGAGCTATAAGATACAGTATAATGAATCACTCTAATGTGGCGGCTGCTAAATTATTCTCTCCCAGTTAACAAAGTAACCACCGTAAATTCAGTCATGGGTTAAATTCCCACGAGCGCCAACCCTTATTTGACGCTCTGAGGTGCCATCATCAAACTACTTCTGAGTTGAGCTGAAACACCAAAGTCTGGCAGTGATTAATGTTTCATTCTCGATGAAATCAGAGTTTACTGGTGAATTTCTTGTCATTCTTTGAAGTGTGTATAAAATCACCTGCTGCGCTGTTAACTTTGGTGGAGTAAACGACCTGGCCTCCGTGTATCGGTGACCAGCGACATTCTATAGTTAAACTATATTTTACCGATAAACAATTCATAAAAAAATATATCATAAAAATTAAATATTAAGATGAGAGTGTAGGTACTAGAAATACAGCAGGGATAAAGCAGGGAGCAATGATACAGCAGAAAGCAGGGATACAGCAGGCAGTAGGGATACAGGAGGGAGCAGACATTCACCACGGAGCAGGGATACAGCAGGCAGCAGGGCCACAACAGGCAGCAGGACCACAACAGGCAGCAGGGCCACAACAGGACCAGCAGGCAGCAGGGCCACAACAGGCAGCAGGACCACAACAGGCAGGACCACAACAAGCAGTAGGACCACAGCAGGCAGCAGGACCACAACAGGCAGCAGGACCACAACAGGCAGCAGGGCCACAACAGGCAGCAGGGCCACAACAGGCAGCAGGGCCACAACAGGTAGCAGGACCACAGCAGGCAGCAGGGCCACAACAGGTAGCAGGACCACAACAGGCAGCAGGACACAACAGGCAGCAGGGCCAACAGGCAGCAGGACCACAACAGGCAGCAGGCCACAACAGGCAGCAGGACCACAACAGGCAGCAGGGCACAGCAGGCAACAGGACCACAACAGGCAGCAGGCAGCAGGGCACACACAGGCAGCAGGGCCACAACAGGCAGCAGGACCACAGCAGGCAGCAGGACCACAACAGGCAGCAGGACCACAACAGGCAGCAGCAGGACCACAGCAGGCAGCAGGACCACAACAGGCACACACAGCAGGACCACAACAGGTAGCAGGACACAGCAGGCAACAGGACCACAACAGGCAGCAGGACCACAACAGGCAGCAGGACCACAGCGGGTAGCAGGACCACAGCAGGCAGCAGGACCACAGCGGGTAGCAGGAGGCAGCAGGACCACAACAGGCAGCAGGACCACAGCAGGCAGCAGGACCACAGCAGGACCACAACAGGCAGCAGGACCACAGCAGGCAGGCAGCAGGACCACAGCAGGTAGCAGGACCACACAGCAGGAGCAGGACCACAGCAGGACCACAGCAGGCAGGCAGCAGGCAGCAGACCACAGCGGGTAGCAGGACCACAGCAGGTAGCAGGACCACAGCAGCAGGACCAGCAACAGGCAGCAGGACCACAACAGGCAGCAGGACCACAGCAGGCAGCAGGACCACAACAGGCAGCAGGACCACAACAGGCAGCAGGACCACAGCAGGGCACAGGCAGCAGGCAGCAGGACCACAGGCAGCAGGACCACAGCAGGGCAGCAGGACCACAACAGGCAGCAGGACCACAGCAGGCAGCAGGACCACAGCAGGCAGCAGGACCACAGCAGGCAGTAGGACCAGCAGGCAGCAGGCAGGCAGGACCACAGCAGGCAGCAGGACCACAACAGGCAGCAGGACCACAGCAGGCAGCAGGACCACAGCGGGCAGCAGGACCACAGCGGGCAGCAGGACCACAACAGACAGCAGGACCACAGCGGGCAACAGGACCACAGCAGGCAGCAGAACCACAACAGGCAGCAGGACCACAACAGGCAGCAGTAGGGTGAGGATAAGTGAAACCAGGAGGTGAGTAAGTTTGTTTATTTTGGTTAGACCGGGTGTTGCTTCTCTCCCTCCATCTGCCTGTATATCCCTCGTATACTGTACACATACATACATACATACATACATACATACATACATACATACACCACACAAACGAAAATAAAAAAGAAACGTATTAAAACTTGAGGAACTTATAAATATTAAAATTAAATAAACAACCAGATTTATAGCAAAAAATATCAATCAAAAATATATTTGCCTTAAGAAATGTAAAATTATGTATAATAATAATTTACGGTAAGTGTTTTGTAAATTTAGTAAAACCTCAATATAACGGACTATGTACCAAGGAATATCCTCTATATCGAGGGCCCATTAAAAGTAAAAAAAAAAATCTAACGAACTAGACAGAGATGAAAGTCCGTTATATCGAGGGTTCGTTAAACGTGAAACCTCCCATTTAACGGATTATATGAAAAGAGAAGTCCTTTATATAGAGGTTTTACAAGAGTTTACTTATATATACTGTACAGTAGTTGATTTATTGTGGTAGACGGTGAACTAGATATAACAGGTGTAAGGATAATTATAATAATATTGATAAAGGAAGGGAGGGTAGGGTAGGGTAGGGTAGGGTAGGGTAGGGTAGGGTAGGGTAGGGTAGGGTAGGGTAGGGTAGGGTAGGGTAGGGTGAGGTAGAGTAGGGTAGGGTAGGGTAGGGTAGGGTAGGGTAGGTTACGCTTGATTAAGTTCGGTTAGGATTGGGTAGGTTCGAATATGATAGGAGGTTTAGGTTAGGTTAGGTTAGAATATCATAAGTTAAGAACATAAGAACATAAGAAAATAAGGAGTCTGCAATAGGCCGGTTGGCCTGTGCATGGCAGCTCCTGTCGAGAGTTACTACCACTCTCTATCATCCATGAATCTGTCTAGCCTCCTTTTGAAACTTTCCAGCGTCCCAGCACTTACTACAAAGTATATCAGTTAATTGTCCTCAGGCGACACTGTGCCAGTATGCAGACCCAAAGTACCCACAGGTCTTGTTTAAGCTTAAATTGGATGGTTAGTATGATTATAAAACACTTGCAGCACCAAGTACACAATCAATAAAAAAAATTTCCCTGATAATTAAGACCCTCATCTCTGAGGCTTTGTAGTCAGCAGTGGAACCGAAAGGTTAAGCCTGGAAACCAATATGGCCGACCGGTTGATGTCACGACTCGTTTCCTCTCTACCTTAGTCTTTTAATAATGACTCTCGCTTCTAAATGTTCCAAACGGTACTGTACTTCCTTGTGGCAGAAAAGTGTAGCTAATTGACGAATTTATCCCCGTCATTAATATCTGCTAGTACACCTGAGTGTCCAATCCTTTATCGTAATGTTAAAACACACAAGTTGCTTAATATAGAGCATTATGCCACAAAACTTAATAGTACAGCAGCAGCATTACAAGGATACAAAGCCAACATTATAGCAGCGACAACACAGCAAAAAGGCAACACTAGGTGTGAGGACTTACCAGCATCGTAGCAGCGCCTTGACGAGTGTAGGACCTAGCTGGTAGCTGACCACAGTCACCCCGATGATCAGCATCACCTTGAGCTCAAAGAACGCCAGAATCCTCCCTGACACATCTGTGGGCGGAAGGCTTCTGATAGTGTGTGGGGGGGGGAGAGAGGTTTCTGTTAGTGTCTGTGCGTGGGGGAGCTTCTGTTAGTGTGTGGGGGGAAATTCCTGTTAGCGTCTGGTGAGTAGAGGCTTCTGTTAATGTATGGGGGAAGTTATTGTTAGTGCGTGTGTGTGTGTGTGTGTGTGTGGAGAGAGGCTTCTACTAGTAAGAGTGACTTGGTGTTCAGTGTTTCCATAAGGTCTGTACAGTTATGATCTGACTGAGTGTGTGCGTTACTCCGGTAGGATACACTGTTGTAGGTTGGTTTTAGTGAGAAAAAAATCTGATTGTGAACCAGTACACAGATGTTTAGAAGAGTGGAAAGGAGGATATCCAGAAAATCTAAGAATCTGGCAAACTGAAAATAAGTTTTGGCGAGAAGAGCACAATGCCATATCTCGTCAGAGCTTCAGAAATATCAAGGTTAACAAGAGTCGCCCAAGTTGTCGAGAGCACAGTCAAGGTTATGAGTAAGGAGAGTGTCACTGAGGAGGTGGTGTTCTTCAGAGTGTTTGGGCAGAGTGGTTTGTTTATGAGTTTCTAAGACAGTTGTTTGAAATAAGCACAATGAGACAATAGTTGGAGGGAGAGAATGAATCACTTTTTCTTTAGAGGGAATGACTGACACTCGAGCTAATTCCTAAGTCGAGGAACACCATCACATGAGTAAAATTGAGACACATGAGCCTGATGTTCAGTTGAAGGAAGTGCAAATGTAACACTGTAGACGAAGCATTTTTCGGTACACAAGGAATTATTATAATCTTCACTACTTTCGACCATCATCACTTTCTCAATTGCATAGTTAGGTACGTATTCACAGGTGGGCGCGAACTATCGACCCTTAGGACAAGACTTTGGACAAGAGGCGAGTGTTGTATCTACTTTGTCGCCACACCCGTTAACTGAGTATGAGAATTAAGAACTACTGTATAAGGAGGAGAAAAGTAAGTTCAGATGCACAGTTTTGGGGATCAGAGAATGGACACTAACACCTGCAAGAGCTTACACCACGTTAAGTGTAAACTAGAAGGCGGAGGAAACATCAAATGGGTGTAAGGCCTAAGTGGTTGCATGTGACGGTGTGCTTTAAGTACAGGCACGGGGGGTGGGGGGGCATTATCAGGGTCAATGATTGCTCTTGTACAAACACGTAAGGTAAAATATTATTTTTGTCTTATCAAGAAGGATGAGATGAAGAATGACTTGGTTTGGTAAATTGAAAAAGGATTTGAGTATTTATTACCTGAAAGACTTTAATGAAGTAAGTTCATTGTCAAGTGTGTGCGAGGAGGAGAGAGAGGGGAAAGAGGGGAGAGAGGGAGCTGAGAGAGGGAGGAGGAGGAGAAAGAGGGGAGAGGGATGAGTGTTGAAGTGGCAGTGAGAGTGTAGAGGGGAGAAGAGGTGGTGGAGGTACCTGGCAACTCCCGTTATTTAAGGAATATATGATTTTTATTCATTCAGACAACAAGCACGTGTAGGGATGTTATCAAATATTACTATCACTCCTTACACTAATAACTACAGCATAATAATAGCGTTAGTTTACACACATTCATATACTTATACATCTACAGTATATATAAATTATATCAGTGTACTGTATCTGTTCTTCTATTATAACTTATATATATATATATATATATATATATATATATATATATATATATATATATATATATATATATATATATATATATATATATATATATATATTGTAACGTTCATGGTTAGAGGACACGGTGCAAGGTCCCAAGTTTCAACTTATGATAAGTAATAAAAAAAATAATGACAGATTTAAGAATGTAATACATTTAAAAAAAATCTGAGGAGAGAGATTTCTATATCACGCGTCACTGATCTAATGGGCCCCACTCATTATGGTTTGGGCCTATTAGGACTGAGGCCCATCTGACCTACAGCCATACAACAGACGTGGTGTACTGACCGTGTATAGGGACGCAGCTCTCCCAGCCCTGGCCGGCGCGGGTCCTGGCGGAGACGCACACCTCGGATGGGTGGAAGTTGACCACCTGGGAGTGGTAGCAGTGAGGCTCACACAACACACCCCGCGGAATAGACTCCATCAACACGTACCCCTCCCTGTCCTTCCATTCCACCAGGTACCTGCACCATCACACCCAGTATGGTTTATTATGGTACAGTAACACAACAGGTACTGACGCCAGCACTTATACCTGTTACATTGGCTGCTGAGTTTTGTGAGATATGGCAATTCTGTTTATAATGTATTAAATCTCCAGGAATGACACAAAGGAACCTCGCAACACAGTATTAACCACAAAACACGCCAGCTACCAGGTATAACTACAGACGACTGTACCTGCACCACAACAGCACCACTGATTCTGCTTTACAGTAAGTTTACACATTCTGGACCCAATTTTCTAGGATTCTTACTACAAAATTCAACCCTGACTGGAGACTTGAGAACACCTCCTATTCTTTCATTTGAACAAATTAAAAAAACAAAACAATAGTCGACAAAACTGCACAAAGCTTGTTTTATAATAGTTAAATCCGTTCTCTCGCCCCCTGTTAAGTCTTTAAGTAATTAACTCAAGATTCGTGAAGAATTCCCACCCTGTCCTTCACTGAGTTAAGGAACACAGTGCACATGTAAGTAATTAGTACATTAACATATAGAATTTGAAGTTCTATTGTACACAGTTAAAACAAACTAAAAACCTGTTTATATTTCATATCGACGTCAATATGAAGGATTAATTAGAATAACTTTAGGTTAAGTCAGTGTTACGATAAAGTAGGTGGCAAACCATTAACAGTTCCAATACCAAATTACCTAAACTTAATCTACCCACACCATGAGAATTGAGGCCCAGTCCTAATGTGCTCAAACCTACATATAAATTCGCACATCCTCCCACATGTACACATATTCAAACCCCCCCCACACACACACCCAACACTACTACTACTACTACTACTACTACTACTTTCCTGTCACTCGGAATCAAGTATGATAATCATGCAGCCATGATACAATGATATGAGTTATTAAAGATGTCACTTTCCTTGGTGAGCTCTGAGGTGAATCGAGAAGCCGATACAGGACCGGCAGGGTCGTCCACAGATGTTGCACGTGTGGAGGCCGATGGAGCTTGTCTGCCTCGGTATGCAGTCTGACTAACACCTTCTCGTGTGGTGTTCTTCCAGATGTTACGGTATGGAGTAATCGTCTCCCAGGTGTGGGGGTCGATTTTGCATTTTTTCAGGTTTGCCTTAAGACTATCCTTATACTTTTTCAGTTGCCCGCCAGCGTTACGTTTTCTATTCGTTCAGTGACTGCAAATTAACTATTTTGGCAGTGTACTGGCATCCATTCGGGTAACATGGCCAGTCTGTTGTAGTTGTTCATGGATAATGGTACCCTCTATGCTCCTACAGTTGGTTTCAGCGAGAATACTGGCATTTGTTCTCTTGTCTTCTCAGCGAACTAGAAGGATGGAACGTAGACTATATTGGTGAAAATTTTCAAGTGCCTTGAGGTGCCTCCTGTATGTGACCCAAGTCTCGCTGTCATGCAGCATGGTTGGCAGGACCACTCATCTCTATACGTACAGCTTTGTAGATAATTTCCGCTCCTACAGCTGAAGACACGAGTACGGAGTCTGCCAAAGGCTTGAGATGCACATCTGATCCGATGTTGAATCTCTTCATCGATGTCTGCAGTTGTAGGCAAGTGGGAGCCAAGGTACTGGAAGTGGGCAACACTAGAGAGAGTAGTATTGTTAATCTGGATGGAAGGTGGAGGTGTACTGTAGTTTAACCAGGGGCATGCTGAAAGAGAATCTGAGTCTTACGTACATTCACATCAAGGCCGGAGTGTACATACGCATTTGAGTAGGTATTCAACATCTCCCTGTAGGTTGCATTCAGTGTGAGCGACAAGGGTGAGGTCGTCTGCATACTGAAGTTCAATGATGAAAGCAGCCGACAAGTTTGTTCCTGCCTGGAGTCGTCAAATGTTGAAAACTCCCTTCATCCTGCACTGGATGTACACCCTGCCGGGTAAATTGGCACTGGGGCGAGTAAGGAAGGCAGCCAAAAATGGAAAAGAGAGTTGGTGCTAGTACACATTCTTGTTTTATTTCCATTTAGATGGGGAAGAACTCAGTCTGGGTGGCATTGTGCAGGAGACTGCCGTTCATGCCATCATGGAGTTGCCTCACAAAGGCGATGAATTTTGGTGGCTAACCAAAACGACTGAAGGTCCACCACAAGGCTTCCCTATTGACCAAGTCGAAGGCCTTACTTAGTAAAGTCGATGAAGGTCATGTACAAGTCACTACGCTGTTCTCTGCACGTTTCCTGTATCTGGCGGTACAGCAGGAGGTACAGCAGGAGTCTTCTTGGTGGAAAGCCTGTGTAGTGGCAGGGGAAGACTTGCGCAAGGCTGCTTCTCTGTTCACCAGGAGGGCGAGCCAGCAGCGGTAACCAAGAGCGAGAGGAGGCAAGCAGTGTCTGCACCTTAACACTAACTTAATGCTGCCACACTAGATGCATTACACCACCCTGTGCACACACACACACACACACACACACACACACACTCACCCAATAATCTTGCCGTGGGTCTTCTCAGGGGTGGTCCAGGTGACGTCACAGAGCCAGTGTGTGCCCCGGGCCTGGATGCCACACGACCCTCCCTCCGTCTCTGGTGGGCCAGGCACTGTGGGCACCATTTTTTGGTGAATGGTACTGGTGTGTAGTACTGGTGTGTGGTACTGGTGAGTGGTACTGGTGTGTGGCATTGGTGAGAGGCACTGGTATGTGGTACTGGTGAGTGGTACTGGTGTGTGGTACTGGTGTGTGGTACTGGTGTGTGGTACTGGTGAGTGACCCCAAATAACATGGTCTCCAAAAATTCCCAGGTGAGGGTAGGGGTCAATACCTGGCCCATGGACCATACATACTCGTATACCCTGTACTGTATGCATAAAATTTTCGACATATAAATAAAATATCAAAGTTTCAATAACAACAGTTTTATCAACACATTATTATTATATATAAATCTATCCAAAACAACATTATATGAGTGTTAAACATATATGTCTTATATTTATTATTATTCATTTATTTAAAAAAATCTCATTAAATGCTAAGTTAATTTGATGCAGGTTATACACTATGAAGGTAAGGCAGGTGATAATGGCAGAAAGCTTTTTAATGACCCTTCCACAATGGTGTACCAGAGAGGGTGGGCCTTCAACAGTGTCCTTATACCTAATCTAATCATAAATACTTGGTCTCAATTGAACTGAACCATAATTTCAATAGTTAGGTTGGGGCTTCTTTTTTATTGGGCTATAACGAGTGAAACCAATCAGTACTGGGGTCCAATCTTTATAATTAGATTAAACTGGGGCCTACTATGACTGAGACATTAAAACTGAGTCTTAATCCGAACAAGGTTTGATTGTGTGGAAGAGATCAAAGCAATATAGTGTCAATATTGTTGTGAACCTATCCCAATGGTAAACTGACTGGTCAAGGAGAAACAACCTAACATGACAATGAGTACAAAACACACACACACCTACTACTTTGTTATCACTCGGAATCGAGTATGATGATCATCCAGCTATGATACAATGATATGAGTTATTAAGGATGTCACCTTCGTTGGTGAGCTCTGAGGTAACTCGAGAGGCCGATACGGGACCGGCAGTGCCGTCCACAGTATGTTGAACGTGTGGAGGGCTGCATCTAGTGTGGGAGGGGCGGCGGCAGCGTCTTTACGAACCTAGCGCTTATCTGCCTCGGTTTGCAGTCGGGTTAACTCGAAAGTATTGATACCTTCTTGTGTGGTGCTCCTCCAAGCGTTATAGTGTGGAGTAATCGTCTCCCAGGTGAGGGGGTCGATTTGGCACTTTTTCAAGTTTGTCTTTAAGACTATCCTTATACCTTTTCCGTTGCCCACAGCGTTACGTTTACTATTCATTACGTGACTGTTAAGTAGCTGCTTCGGAGGGCTACTGTCGTCCATGCGGGTAACATGGACAGTCCAACGTAGTTGTTCATGGATAATTATAGCCTCGATGCTCCTGCAGCTGGTGTCAGCGAGAATACTGGCATTTGTTCTCTTGTCTTCCCGGCGAACTCGGAGGATGGAAAGTAAACTACGTTGGTGAAAGTCTTCAAGTGCCTTGAGGTGCCTCCTGCATGTGACCCACGTCTTGCTGCCATATAGCAGGGTGGGGAGGACCACTGCTCGATATACGTGCAACTTTGTAGATAATTTCTGCTCCCTCCAGCTGAAGACATGGGTACGGAGTCTGCCAAAGTCTTGAGAGGCATATCTGATCCAATGTTGACTCTCTCCATCGATGTCAGCGGTGGTGGACTGGTGGGAGCCGAGATACTGAAAGAGGGTAGAAATAGAGAGGGTAGTACCGTTAACTGGATGGATGGTGGAGGTGTGATTGAGCCAGGCTGAAAGACCGAGAATCTGAGTCTTATGTGCATTCACCTTAAGGCCGAAGTGTGCACACGCATTTGCATAGGTGTTCAGGATCTCCTGTAGGTCGCGTTCAGTGTGAGCAACAAGAGTGAGGTCACCTTCATACCGAAGTTCAGTAATGGAAGCTACCAATAACTTTGTTCCTGCCTAGAGGCAGCTAAATTGGCACTGACACGAGTAAGGAAGGCAGCCAAAAAAAATGGAAAAGAGAGTTGGTACCAGTACACATCCTTGTTTTACCCTCGTATGGATGGGGAAGAACTCAGAACGAGTGACATTGTGCAGGACACTGCCGTTCATACGATCGTGGAGTTGCCTCACAATGGCGATGAATTTTGGTGGGCAACCAAAACGGCTGAGGGTCTGCCAGAGGGCTTCCCTGTTGACCGGGTCAAAGGCCTTGGTAAAGTCGATGAAGGCCATATACAGGTCACGACGCTGTTCTTTGCACTTTTCCTGTATCTGGCGTGCAGCAAAGATAATGTCAGATTCTGGGAGGAAGTTTTCCGTCAGATGAACGGAGGGGGGGGGGTCTACGCCATGAGTGATTGGCCCATGAAATGTTTTAATGGAATTGAAAAATTCGCGCATCTTCTGCTGATCTGCTAGTTTTTGCATTTAACGTGCTTATTTTTAAACCAGTCATTCTATAGATTGCGAAGTTCGTGCTGGGCTGCCGCTTTCTTCTTGCGGAAGGTATCAGCTTTGATCCGAGACTGATCGTTGTTCTGCCAGTCAGTTAAAACAGCACGTTTATCATTGACGAGTACGTTGATATCCGCGTCATTTTCATCAAACTAGTCCTGGTGTATGCTTCGGAATACACACACACACACACACACACACACACACACACACACACACACACACCAAAAGGGCAGCAGCTGTCTCTTCTTAATTAAATCAATCAATCAATTAAGAGCTGGATCCGTCAATTTTGTTTGCCTCATCCATCAGCCCAACACTGTGGCAACAATCTGACGGAGATGATGCTGGTTCTGGTAACTTACAACAGCACCAGGAAGAGACTGTGATACTGTTGACAAGATTATACGAAGTGCACTGATGTCAGAGGTACCATGAAGAAACCATTTTTGGAAGACTAAAGAAAAAATTAAAATTAAATAAATATTCTTCCTACACAACTCGCTAACCCATAAGACTAACAATCTACAGAGATATATTAAAGAAAATAATTATAATCCACACTACTGACCATCCTCGGCAGTGGTGATGACGTCACAGATCAGCTGGTCGTCGGGGGAGTGAGTCTCCCCTACACACACCTCGTACCTGCCACAACAACAACAGTGTATTAGTACCATCTCTCTGACGAACTTAAATGATAATATTTGTTCATATTAAAACACGATGCTTTATGAATAATGTTTTATCTAACCGTATACTCGTATTACATAAATATAAATGTGTGTGTACAGTATGTTTCTATGTGTACCAGAAATTAAGAAATAAAAAAAAATCACTTAAATAATGAAATTTGACATTGCTTCCTTAATACACAGTTTACCTAGTACCTAAAGACTACCATACCAGGTGTGTCATGAAGTACTCTCGTCTGGCGTCTGGAATGGTTGTGTCTGGAATAACCCCTATCTTTTCTTAGAGCTGGAAGACCTTAACCTTGGAGCTCCCTTCACCTAATGTTTGAAATAGCTGTGTGTCTGGAACTACTTCAACATAAAGCCAGGAAGCCCCTAGAAGACCTTGTGTTTGATATCCTCACCTTGTGCCTGGAATGAGTCCCCTGATGAGGTGCTTGCTGGAGACAAGGTTGGAGGCGTGACCTGGATGACCGACCCGGCCCTCCACCCTCCTCCAGGTGATTCTAAACCCCTTGGTGGAGTGGGAGGAGTCCTGGACGTAGGAGGAAGTGGGTATCTGCCCCCACACCACCGACAGGTTTTTGCTGTGCACGGGACCCATCACAAGGTAGAGCGACCCACCTGGACCACGATAACACACTTTAGCACTGATCCCTAACCAATGAACCATATATCGTGTAATCATGAGGAATGAACTGTTCACCAAATGGGCCCAGTATTAACAGGCATCAGTCCTAATTGGCCTTAATCCAAGTAAAAAAAAAAACAGTTTCACAACCTCACTTTACCGGTGAATAGATACCTGTCCAGCACCTATTGACTCGATTCACCAATTAATGAGCACTCCCAATTAATTAACTTCTGCCCACATAAAGCGTCTGTTCTAGTTTTAATGTGACAGTTAAAAGCGGACTTACTATGGCGTGGACCTGTCGCCTGTTTGTCTTTCCTAAATATACATCGTTACGAGACAATTTTCTCAATGTATCAACTGCAGGTGAAAGGTTGAACACGGCGACGTAAGCATAATGTACCGTGACAGTGATGGTGTGAGGTTGACGGTTTTATTGTCTAAACAACAGTCAATTTAATGATATCTTTCTTTTAAAATTCTCAATCTTGTTGTATTAGGTTAAATATGTCTTATAAGCAATAAAGACAGAACCGTATATTATGCCTACACAAGATAAATCTTACATACAAAAAATAAACACTTATTATTATTTAAGTCCTCTTTAGTAAAGCCTAAATTATTACAGATGTAAATCGATGCAATTTCTAACCTCACTCTCCACTGCCTGTGTTGCACTGTGCCTACCACTGCCTGTGTTGCACTGTGCCCACCACTGCCTGTGTTGCACTGTGCCCACCACTCGCTGTGTTGCACTATGCCCACCACCAATTTGTATCACTCGGAAACAAAGATGGTATGAATTTATATTATCACAATTGACACTTTGTGCTCAGAGAAAACACGACGTTGGTTATTGGTTACGTAGAGGCAATATATGAGGCAGGGATTAAAGTTAGGGAGGGTCCAGTAACAAGGAGAAAAGGTAGGGAGGGTCCAGTAGCAGGGAAAAATTTTAAAAAATATTCCACAGAAATACAGATGTTCATCAGTTAAATGTTAGGCAATACGAGCATAAGGCTGAAGACACGGCTTACATCACACGTGTGTGTGTGTGTGTGTGTGTGTGTGTGTGTGTTGTGTGTGTGTGTGTGTGTGTGTGTGTGTGTGTGTGTGTGTGTGTGTGTGTGTTGTGTGTGTGTGTGTGTGTGTGTGTGTGTGTGTGTGTGTTGTGTACCTTTGTGCGCCTTGCTCTGTGGTAATCTTGGCACCTTCAAGAAGCTACAGACGGAGGCGAGTTGCTCACACTCGGCGGCCTCCCACTTGAGACACACTCGGTACTGCTGGTCGTACTTGAGGCCCTCGTTGATGGTGTAGCTGCTGAGTGTGTTCTCCAACAGATGATTACCCACTTCTTTCGAGGTCATCTGTGGCACGGGAAGTTGGAATTAAGTATCCAGTCTTAACACAACCCAACCTAGCTTAACCGAACGCATCCTAACTTACTCTAACCCAACCCATCCTAACTTAACTCGACCTAACCTAACCCAACCTATCACAATGCAAAGGCACACAACTCAGCCCAGCCCAGCCCAGCCTAGCCTTAAGGATTGGGGACCAGTTCTATGAGGTTCCAGTCCTAAAAAGTCTAACCTAACCTACCCTTTACAATTGGCTATAGTCATCATAGGAGCCTGTCCAAATAATTAGTTTATATTAGAGGTACATTAGGGGTAGATTAAGTTAGATTAAGTAAAGTTAGGGTAAAGGTTAGGTTACGGATGGGTAAGGTCAGGTTGAGTTTAGCTACGTTAGGTTAGGTTACGTTTAGTTAATATTAGAGGTACATTAGGGGTAGATTAAGTTAGATTAAGTAAAGTTAGGGTAAAGGTTAGGTTACGGATGGGTAAGGTCAGGTTGAGTTTAGCTACGTTAGGTTAGGTTACGTTTAGTTAGAGTGGGATAGGTTAGGTTAGTTTAGGTTAGCTGCCGTTGTGATTGAGTAAGGTAGTTAGGATTAAAGTTAATTTGGTCAGGTTAAACTAATATAGAGGTGGGTTAAGTAAATTTAGGCTAAGGTTAGGTTAGAAAAATAATTTAAGTTAGAGATAGGTTGGGTTAAGCCAAACGGAGGTTAGATTAAGTGAAACCAATTATATTTCAAATGTGGTTAGGTTAAAATTCAGAACTGAGTCCGATAATAACAAAATCTCACTTATCCCAATAAACACACCTTAGTAAAACTCTCGCCATGAAAGCGCTTCCGTGTTGTTCTGGTAACTAAATGGGAGATCAAGACACCTACCAGAATATTTTGTAAATTAACATACGAGTAATTTCACAGGTGTAATGCGAGCTGTGGCAGGTGTGTGTGTGTGTGTGTGTGTGTGTGTGTGTGTGTGTGTGTAATCAAGAAACTACTAATCTGTAAGTTAATGATAATAATTATAATGAAAGGAACTACTGACAACTAGTCAATACCAAATATAAATGTCAATTGCTGGCCACATGGACCTTAGACCTAATTGGCCGAAGTCTTAATAAACTCAAATCATAATAGGCATAATTTCTAACAGGTTCCAATAAGGACTGTACTCCCATCCTATTGGTTAAGTTAGGTTGGGGCTTATACAGAATGGGGCCCTTTAGACCCCGCCCCATAACAAGTGACGCTGTGACCGCTGGTAGAGAGCCGTACCTGTGGACTACACCTACATATCACCTTTATCTTAAATAAGTAATAGTTACTGCACCAGTGCCCGTCGCTGAGCGGTACTTAGTGATGAAGGTGAGGGTGAGACCAGAGTAGTGGTGAAGGGTAGGAGACTCACCTGAGAGGTGTAGGTGACGGAGGACCAGGTGAGGGTGAGACCAGAGTAGTGGTGAAGGGTAGGAGACTCACCTGAGAGGTGTAGGTGAGGGAGGACCAGGTGAGGGTGAGACCTGGGTGGTGGGTAGGCAGCGTCCAGGTTACCTCCACCTCTGGACCGGGGACACCTCCAGCCCTCGTAACTCGCAGGTGTAGAGCCGATCCTGAAGGTCAGACCAAAACATCGGGTTACACATCGTACTCTGAAGGGCAGGTCACACTTGGTTACTAAAAAGATTAAATAAATAAACTAGTAAAAAAGGTAGGTGGGTGGGTAGGTATGGTAGGTAGGTATGGTAGGTAGGTATGGTAGGTAGGTATGGTAGGTATGGTAGGTAGGTAGGTATGATAGGTATGGTAGGTAGGTATGGTAGGTAGGTATGGTAGGTATGGTAGGTAGGTATGGTAGGTAGGTTGGTAGGTAGGTAGGCAAGTATGGTAGGTATGGTTGGTTGGTTGGTTGGTTGGTTGGTTGGTTGGTTGGTTGGTCCTGAAATGTAATTGGTGGGAGATCATCTAATTTAAAAAGTGTAATTGGTAAATACTGAGTTTTATTACTATTGAATTTAACCAAGTTTGTACCTACCCTTATTCAGAGATGCTGCACAGATCCGCATTGATCGGTGTAATGATATCAGCTCTAGAAACAGATTTAGTTTGAGAGTTAGGCGGAAGGGGAAAACATGAAGAAGAGTGAAGAGTAGAATCATCAGCGTAAGAATGGATAGAATTAGTTGTAGTGTGAAGTAAATCATTGATAACAAGAAGGAAGAGAGTAGGTGAAAGAACAGAACCTTGTGGGACACCACTATTGGTAGAGAAAGAGCGAGAGACCGATCCCTCGACAACAACTGCCATGGATCGGTTCTCGAGGAAGCTAGAGATTAGAAAACAAAGTGGGGGAGAGAAACCATAAGAGGGAAGTTTAGAAAGCACAGACTTGTGCCATACCCTGTCAAATGCTTTGAAGATGTCGAGGGCCACGACGAAAATTTCCCCATCGGGGTGTTATTATAAAGTATAAACGTGATAAACAATCAAGATCTTCAAGCACAGAACATAACGTAATTCTCTACACTTGACAACCTATTTTAGATGTTAAATATACTGTACACTTTCCAGAATCCAGTAACTAAAACCCCAGCACAATATCGACGTCATTTGAGCTACCACGTTAAAGTTGTCAGCTAGCTAAATGTCGTCTCATCTCGCTAATTCGACACGTTAGGTTAGATTCAGAGTGTCAATGGTTCGTAAGTTGAATATTCCTCATAACTGGAGTTGTAAGAACGTATTTAGCTGTTTGGTTTAAAATTAATTTCAATAATAATGTTCCAAAATGACAATGAAACTAAAATAACTGTAGTAATTAAATTCTCACTTACCATCGGCTAAGAAACAAAATTCAGGATAATTATAATGCTATTTTATTTTGTGTGTGTGTTTAGGTTAACTAGTTATATAAAGTCTTACGTTACCACTTAAGAGGATAATTTATCTTACTAATCTTTGAAAATTTAGACCCTGAGATTTATCTTCTTGTTGACGAGAGATTAAGAGTCACTTGTTATCTGGTAGAGAGAGATACACCAGACAAGTTAACATAATTATTATACGGTATTGGAGTGTCACTGTGGGATTACGTCACCGTCCACACCATGTCTGGCCTCCACACACCTCTAGAGTACAAGACCACGACTGTGTATTAGTGTATTTAAGTGAACTGGACGATCGTATCACACCGGTTTCCCAAGATGTGTATTTTCATATTCCTAAGTACGATATATAGTAGAGTCGTACTGGACAACAAGCATGGATGATAACTATTACATAAATACTGTACAGACACATGAACACACATTAGCCACCATGAATTTTCATTATGAGATAAGCATAAATTTACTCACACATCAAACAGATTATTAGTATCATACCCAGCTCAATCAATCAATGCTCAGGTCTGAGGGTTGGTGACCATGGCCCTCCACTTTACCATGTACTGTATGTCTACGGGGTTAGGTTATTTATTTCATTTATCCATCCTGGTCTCTGCCTTCCCCTCGGCCCCGTATCATTAATTTTACACATTAGCTTTTCTTCCACTATTCTCTCATATCTAACAATATGGCCAAAGTGTCTAGTTATTTGTATTCTGTAAATTTCTAGTATTCCTCTGGTTACTCTAGCCCAGTAAACACACACAAACATAAATACGTAGCCTACTGTACTCAGAGCGACGTCAATACGCACACCTTTATACATACATAATTATCATCACAAATGTCTTGGGAAATCCAGAACTGATACACAAATCTATTCACGGCACCGGACGTCCACTTAAGAGATTATATTCTCAATAAACGTCATTGGACACTGACTACTCACCATCTACACACAAGATAAATACTAGCAACAGCACGACCGACAGCTGATAACAATCGGTCAGTCGCGTCCTGAGCCCTCGTGAGAGCATCTTCAACACAGGTAAACGAGAGGCGGGTGAAGGAGCGACCCAAGGGGACACGAGTTTGACCGCACACTGCTCCTGTCACTCTCAGCGGCAGTCCAGCGAGCTTATCTGAGGCCAGGTAACTCACGGTGGTGATACGGGTGTCTTATCTTATCCATGTGGTCCATGGAGCACCGGAATGGGGGGCACACCTGACACTGTGGTGGAGGCTGAGGACCTCAAGTGTCAGTGTGGTTAAATGAGTTCAAATCCTCATACCCCCAAACCATTAGCACTCATTAGGACTGGACCACAATCCTAATGGTTAGGTTAGGTTTTTGGCGCTATTACGATTCAAGCAATTATTCATCTCTGTTTGCACACAACAGCGAGGTGTTGTGCGAGTGTGTTCCTCGTTTCACTGGACTAACGAGCTTGACATGGTTGGGTAAACTAAATGGATCCAATGCTTCTGTTTTGAATATAAAATCCTCCTAAGACTTTCACTCTCCTGCCTCAACGATATGGTTGAAAACAAGTGAAGAGAGGCGGCCAGCACCACCTGACAAACACCGCGTTGCTGGAATATTAAACATCCTTACCGCACGCATCTTTTAATTAGCTCGCTTAATTCACCAACCTGTTTAGGAAGCGCCACACCGAGCTGTTTTTAACTCTCCCTCTATCAACATAAACACCACACCGGATAATTACCATCGCTTGTTCGAGCAGCGGCCAAAACACGGAGTAAATTTGTCATTATTTAGAACAATGCAGATAGTCTGTCAACGGTGCACTCTGCTAGGCCCCCCAGCGTGTTGTTACCCAAAAAAAATCCTACTTGTGAAATTTAGAATGTAACAGTTGGGAAAGTTATTCCATGTGATTGGTATGCTAATACCAAAATTTTCTTTCTTTCTACGCCTTTATTAAGATGTTTTTAATGTATCATGTCATCTGATAAACTATTCATTAACACTCTTTCAGGTGTTAGTGGTTTTTCATACTTCAGATGTTGGAAAGTTACTAATATACAGTAACACGTCACAAAAAATAAACTAATCCATGATGTGTTTGGTGTCTTGCTATAACCTGTATGAGTAGCCATAAGTCAGATTTACCTACCATGAGCTGAAGCATTCAAGGTGTATTGAGTATATGTTGAAAGCTTCATCCATCTTTGTGTGTATTGTAAATAGTGTTAAGACGACGTGTTTTGAGTTTCAAGCGACCAGTTGTAGTCAATTTGTGTCTCATTTGGTATGTCTCCGTAATTGTTGTTTCAGGTATATCTGATTTCCACATGGTAAATGAATACTTATATATCCTGTGATTTGAGGAGTGTGAAAAGGTATGAAATTGATAAAAGAAGAGAGATAGGTTGTATCACTGATTCATGGAGTAACCTACACCCTCAAGTTTTGAGAGTAATGTTAATTACTGTACACGAACAATCTTGTGACGGGTGATTGAGAAGTGCTATGAAGTGTTAGTACAGTATAAGTAGTAATGTAATTGAGGTGTGGATGACCAGTCTTTGTTGTGTGTCACTGTCATAGAATGTTACCAGTAACCTTAAGTACTATTAACTGAACATTGGTTCTGTTGACGTGAATACTTGTTTGGCTGACTAGAAGTGAGGCCAAGTGGTCTTTGGAGGCTGTATCAGTGTTAATGTAAATTTGGTGCCGAATTCTCCAAAGATTTCTGTGATGGAGCCTTGTCTCTGTCCCACCTAACAATTTGTCCAACCCATTTAAGCCTGGAGTCAGCTGAAAGAATCATATAACGAAATGTGGAATATTATAAATACATTAAGCAGGTTCTGAAAAGGCATACAAAATTTAACACCATCAAATATAAATACTGTACTGTACTATAATATGAACAAGTTTTACACATGTTATTATCATTATAGTAATTATTTTAAGAAGCGACATTTAATAAAACCTGACCTAACCGATCAAAGAAACCTACCTAACTTCCTAGCAGAGGTGGCTCCACTCCCAGACCCCCAGCCATATTAAACAGGAAGTACAGTATACAGTACTTATTTTGATATCTGGTACCAATGAAAGCAACTTTGATGAAGTGCCATGGTGTACTTTTACGTTTTTTGTGGACGTGAGAGTAAGCTTGGACAGAGCTGGTTGGTTGAAAAAACCAAGCAATCGACAACACACTACAACTCGGCAAATTTTTCACATGAGTATATACGGTAAATAATTAATTTCCTCAAGTACTGTACAAAGCACGTAGAGACATCATCAGTGGTATATATTTAAGGTATTATTATCATTTCAGTTATGCAGCGAATTACTTAGAACTTCATGTTTTGGAATCGATAGTTTAGACAATTTTAGGTCACTTTTCTTCTATAGCGTTTCCTTCGGAAATTAATATTTTTTCGAGTATTTTAACCCATAAAATTACCAACAATATTACTTGTTCAAAGTGGGCAGGGCTGTCAAGTAGGTACAGTAGAGGGGAAATATGGGATAAAATACTAAAAATAACACCAACAAACCTTTGCTAAATTTTCCTAACTTGTAAAAATGTTAAGAATCACTTTTGAGTTTATGGATCCCTCCTCATCTGAACACTGAAAAAACACCAACATACTAAAAACCGAAAACAACACCATCAGGTGAAATAAGCTAGATATCTAATCATTCGGTGATATACGTAAGCTTGGTGTCAGTCTAATCACCAGGTGAAATAAGCTAAGTGTTTAATCATCAGGTGAAATAAGCTTGGGGCCTTATCACTGGGTGAATTAAGCTGGGGGTCTAGTCATCAGGTGATCTCATTCTTCTTCACATGAGCTCTCTTACCATTATCTCTGGGTATCAAGATGTATAATTCAACCTCTTCTTCCTAGTGTAAGTTGGCTTTAGATACCAAACTTAAATTAGGTGGTTCATCCTGGAGATATTTTCACTTGGTCTTTTAGATTCTAACGAGGGACATTGTTCATAGGTTTAAGTCTCAATCTCAACTCCCGTTTTGTCATTTTTCAGTGAAGTTAATAAAAGGAAATGTCTCACTTAAAAATTATGCCTTTGTAATTTAGTGCAATACACATTCTATAAGGTTAAAAACTACCATAAATTCCTCTTTGGGTGTGATGATATTCTACTTATTATATCAGCCCATTTATCACTATTAATTTGTATAGACCCAACTACTGGACAGCTGCTGCTGGCCTGTGTCCAAAATGTCGTCATAATAAGTGACTTCGGCTTACACATAATTGTATTGTATATTTACAGTGCATTACAGGTACATTAAATCACATAATTACTGTGCATTATATTACAAGTATGTTACATCACATAATTTCTGTACTGTACATTATATATGTTACAAGTACGTTACATCACGTAATTACAATACATTACAGGTATGTTAAATTAATAACTACGGTACACTAGAGGTGAATTTAGTTATGATTTCCTCCTACATGGCGTGTGGAGTACATCACAGGGTTATCAATAGATTACCGTACGTATCTTGGTGGCTCTATTGTCTGGTTAAGTGGTTGGTGATAATCTATTTTAGTACTACTACTACTACCACACCTCTCTCAGTACAGTACTACCACACGTCTGCTAGCACTACTATAAGTCATTCACCTCTTGTCACTTCCCCCAGCAGGTGTACAGTATATTTACCTTCAGCAGGACGATGGAACAGCATCAAGTAGTCCCTGATGTGGTAGACGTGGCACCTTCAGCTCTTGTGCAGGTAAGTCAGGTGTAGCCTATCAATACACATGTGGCTCTTCTCTGATTCACTTTAGCATTTTATAAAGAATTCTTATGTGCAGTACCTGGCTACTGAATGTTTCAATACGAGTTTCCTTTAGTACCTGTGAGCTATCTAAGTTAGTAAATAATAATGTATAGTCGTGTTCGTGGTACTGTACTATTTCCCTGGGCAGGTTAAGTATGGGGAGGCGGAGGTGAATAGCGGTAATGAACTCACGCCCACTCAGGTGGTGTCCCTGCCTACACACCTGTCCTGGCCGAGGGAGGAAGGTGCCCTCTACACCCTCTGTATGACAGGTCAGTCATCTATTTTATCTTCTATTTAATGAATATATGTGATATTAATTTATTTACTCCATGTTGGATAATTTTAGCTAAACTGTTAATACAATCAACCCGTGTTAAAAATATCCTCCAACAAAATATAAATAATAAAAAAAAAATTCTTTCTTATGATTTCTTGAGCTCCATTACAGAATGATATAAAGAAGACACCTTATGTAAGGTAGAGGACAACACAGTACACAGTTTTAGTACAATACTTCACTTCATCTCTCGCAATTTATCATTATTTTGTCTGATAATATGAACAAATAAGTCAATATATCAGCCTCGCTATGATAACCTCCTGTTCTGACTTGACCTAATGCTAATCTAACCAAACACTAACCTAACCTAACCGCAGACCCAGACGCCCCAAGTCGCAAGGATCCCAAGTTTCGTGAATTCCTACACTGGCTGGTAGTAAATGTCCCCTCGTGCGACCCGGCCTCTGGAGACACAATCGCTCACTTCGTCGGCTCCGGCCCCCCCAGAGACACAGGTAAGGCAGAGAAGATGAAGTGAGGAGGTAGGGAGGGACAGAAGGTCAAGAGAAGATGGAGAAGAAGTGGGGAGAGAGGAAGGGAGGGAAGGCAGGCTAAGAAAAGATGGAGGATTGAAGAGAGAGAGAGAGACAAGCATATACAGTAGAGGTGGATAGGTATATCTAGTCATGGTGTTTTACCTTCCTCCTCTACCTACAGGTCTCCACCGCTACGTGTACCTTGTGTATCGCCAGCCTGGCCCTCTCACCTGTGATGAACCTAATATGCCCAACAATTCAGGTAAGAATGATTTTGTCTCTTATCTATTTGTCTCTATTTCTCTGTCTCTATAGATATGTCCCTTTCTCTACTTCTACTACTACTACCACCACCACTACTACCACTACTACTAATAATAATACCTTGTAATAATAATACAGTAATAATAATATGATGATGAAGAATACAGGTAATAACAAATTCAGGGGCAGATCCAGGAATATCAAATGGGGGGGTCCAAGAAGTTGTGTGGGGAACATGGCAAGTGCAGGGAGCCCACTCAGCTGGAGGGTTTAGGAGGGGGGGCTGTAAGCCCTGCAATTGTTTGTTGAAACCTAACCAATACCATGGGCATTTTGAGGCCATTTTGAAGCCATATGCACTTGATACTAGGAGATATTCTGAGGTCAGTAGCAATTACTTTTTACTATACAAAATGCTTGACTACAATACAGTACTGTACTGTATTAAAGAAAAAGTATTGGAATTTTCTGATGAAAAGGGGATCCGGACCCCCCTGAATCTGCCCCTGTAATTTTTTTGTTTATTAGAGAACCCAAAATTATCACAATTTATTCCTACTGATTTTTAAGTTCCTGTTTAATTGCATGTCTTAAAATATAGTAGTAATCATAATGGATACTCGAATAACAAATTGACCATGTACAGTATAACATCAACAATAACAACTGTTCCCCCCCCCCCACCAGCTGAACACCGTCGTAGCTTCAGCATCAGGAACTTCGCCAACAAGTATCACCTGCAGCTAGTGGCCGGCAACCTCTACCAGGCACAGTATGACGCCACCTGTGACTTGGTTCATCAACAGCTGGGTGTCCAACGTCGCTAGCCAGCTGTACCACCATATCTAGCCAGTACAGCTGGGTGTTGAACATCACTTGCCAGCTGTACCACCATATCAAGCCAGTACAGCTGGGTGTTGAACATCACTAGCCAGCTGTACCACCATATCTAGCCAGTACAGCTGGGTGTTGAACATCACTTGCCAGCTGTACCACCATATCAAGCCAGTACAGCTGGGTGTTGAACATCACTAGCCAGCTGTACCACCATATCTAGCCAGTTATTCCAATATCTCCAGCCAGCTGTACCCCAAGAAGTGTAACACAGCTACCAAAACACTTTACAGAGCAATATTCACTACACACTTACCATAACAAAACAAATATATATATATATATCTTGAGAGCTTTCTTTATTTGTATATCAAGTATACATTGAACTATTTTGAATTATGAGGCTCACTATATACAGGTATATATGTATTATCCAGTATAATATATGTATACGATAAAAGTAAAACGTGTGGTCTTAATTATCCTATCCTGTAGATGGCGTACAGTATATGTGTGTGTCAATAGTTTGTTTTCTAGTTAAAAAAAAGATTCACTGATGGGATGTTTATGTGCAGTCCAAAAGTTGCAGTAATGACAGCACCACGCAAGGATCTAAGACAGACCCTCATAGACAGGAGGCTGTGGGTAGCCCAGAGCGAACAACAGCCGAGTGATTCTGCTGACAGTGTTGGACATCATCTTCTTCTCCTCCTGGGTGAAGGGGTCATTCACCTTAGTATTGTTCCTCTTAAAAGCTCCCATTGGGTGGCTGGACACACAGGCCATCCTACCCTCATCCACCGGTACCCTACAAGGTGTAAATAATGATGATTAGTATAATAAACATACAGTACTCTAATAACCCAAAGCATAATAGAAATAGAATAGTCCATAACATATTATAACAAATCATGATAGGCAGATTTTGCTCCCATGAGCATCAGTACTATTAGAATTTGTTGCCATGGTGTAATTATCGGGAACATTCATCTATTAATACTAATATGGGCAATTATTAATGACACGCTCGTCGCTGAATTTTCAGGGAAAATTTATTTAAAACACCACAATTTCACTGTGTTTTGCAGTGTACACTGCCATAGTTTAGACAAATGTGTTGAAATGGGGATATTTCTAAATTAAACCTAACCTTAGTCGATAAGAAACACAGTGGCTGAAGTGTTGTTAACAGATGTGAACACCAACCTAACCAAAGAAACATACCTAACTTTCTAGCCAGGGGCCCCGGCATATTAAACAGAAAGAGCTTACAGTACACTACTGTACGTTGATATCTGGCACCAATGAATGCAACTTTCTTGAAGCAGCATGGTATAATTTTACGTTTTTTTGTGTTGTAATACTGTACCCGAGAAAGTCCAATAATTGATGGAGCTGGTACGTGGTGTTTTGGACGAGGTGTTCATAGTGGAGGACATAGAGAGGTTGCTTACACCACAACAACCTATCCAGTGCCAGCTCCTCCCACGACGAGATTGCCTTCTTGACATACAAGTGGAAAACTGTTCTGAAATAACATCCTGTAGTCGCCTATTGTATATTAAAACAGCAAAAATATATCAATTTAACCTATACCATAGAAATAACATTAATACAGCATATATTAATAAATGAGGTTAACTTCTATTATTGATTTCAACTTTGATAGGGAGTGCACAGTACTGTACAGTATAAAGATGTACTGTGTGAGATGTCCAGACTTGTGTAGTATGAAGGACTAAATTTAATGGTAAAATAATATCAAATATATGTTATGCAGATGATACTGCTCTTTTCACAAATAGTGAAGAACTATAACAAAAATATAATTATTAACAGATTAGTGGAAAAGATAAAAATATGGTTTAAGAATTAATGCTGTAAGGACGAAAGTAATGGTTGTTTCCAAATTGGAAATAACTCCTAAAATAACAATCATGGTTGGTAACAGGAAACTTAAACAAATGGGAAATTTTGTGTATATAGGAAGTAACAGTAGTTGTGATGGTAGATGCACAGAGAAATCAAAACAAGGATTGGGCAAGTAAAAACACCATTTAATAATGTTAAAGACCTATTGAAAAGAAACGTTAACTTCAAATTGAGAAAAAGGCTGTTGAAAATGGCTTTATATGGCAAGGGCTAATGTATGGGTCAAATGCCTGGACATGTTCAGCAGACACCAAACAGAAGTTGGAGGCCTTTGAAATGTGGTGTTATTTATAGGCGGACACTAAGAATAAGCTACTGTACACTGACATGAAAAGAAATGAAGTACTAAGATTAAAAAAAATTTCAAGAAAAATACTTGAAATGTACAGAAAAAGTAAAATGAGATACTTTGGTCCTATAATTAGGGATGAAGGGATAATAACAGAAATATTAATGGTCAAAGTTGAGGGTAGAAGGGCCAGGGGAAGGCAAAGACTGGGATAGATGAATGAAATTAAAAACTGGGTCCCCAGTGTGATACAATACCTTGGAGGTTCGGTAAAATACTGCCCGAGAGCATTTAGAGTGGGGGAGACTGTACTCTGATTGATCGATTGATACAGAACATAACAAGTTGTTCACACATACTCACATTTGTTGTCAAATATCCTGTTGTCAGATACAACGGCTGTATGCTTCTTGTCTTGTGCACATATGTATTCCCAGTAGGAGACAATTGCCCTGTGTCGTGTACATGTAATATAGAGATACAGTTAATACATAATAAAAGATAATACAGTGCAGTATATATCTACTCCTCTACCTCAACCTTGACTGACCTGGCTGGGTTACGGAGAAGCAGGATGGTAGGCTGGTTAGGGCTGGCAGCATCATACCTCTCCTGTAGGTTACGAAGGCCGCTGGAGTAGAGACCAAGGCCGTGTGTCTTCTGCACCAAGGTCCTCCCACTGTCAACACGGTCAATCTCTCCCAGGAACCCTATCACACAAACACTCTTACTGTCACACCACAACATACCTTAAGAGTCACAATACTGTACTGTACTTTTACTCTACTGTTCACTGGTTCTAAGAATTTTCATCTTCATAACTACTTTTTCCTAACAACGAGAAAATATACATATCAGGTAAACATCAGTGGTGTGTGTGTGTCTGTCTGTAACTCACCAGAGCGGTACAGTGTTTTGTCATTAAACACGGAGCCTGTGAAGATCCCCGTCGCCGCCTCCAGCAGGTAGCGCGTCCAGGTATTGCCAGAGCGTGGGAAGGACGTCAGCCACACCCGCACCAGCCCACAACCGAACCTGTCGCATGACCAACACTTATGGTAGTAATGATGTACTGTACATGACATACACTGATACTAGCACACTTAAGTACACCACAACTTACACTGATACTAGCACACTTAAGTACACCACAACTTACACTGATACTAGCACACTTAAGTACACCACAGGAGCATAAATAGCAATGTAATATCCTACAGTCAAGGCTTCCACGGGTCATCACCATAAGTGACCTTGACTAACCTCGTCTCATAGTTGACACAAGGGTTGTCTACTGGGTCATCATCATCCCACAATCGCCAGGAGGGAGCTGTCGTGTTCACCTCCAACACATCACCACCTGAAACAACATAGTCAACAATACGACAATAGTCAAGTTTAAAACATTTCTTACCCTGTACAGAAATTTACTGACTACAGTATTTTAAAGATTCAAATAATAAAACTTTCTATATTAGATAATAAAGCTAGATTATATTGCTAAGATATTTGTTTTCATATATTAGTTAGATATATTGTTCAAGTTTCAGATTAAAGCATCGAACCAGAAATCAATGAGTGACGTCATTACATCAATATTTACTTAATGACGTCATCACATTTTTTTCATACCTTCTGCACTTCTGTCAACTCGACTGTGTAAAGTGTTGACCAAATTCGACAGTTTATTGGTACCTGCAACACACTACAATGTTTGAGTTTGTGGATATATTACTTTTGGAAGTTACTAATCAATATTACAATCACGAGAGTAAGAACTGCACCAATGTATTAACGAGAACTATATTGATCCTACCTCAAAAGTTACGTAACAAAATGTTGAATATTATCAGTGTCCTAAGTTACGTAAACACAGTAAGTGATGCTGTGTTGGGTCTAATTTTACGGGCACTTTTTTGTTTTACTTTCTATCACATGGTCTGAGTGATCCCCCTCTCTCTCAAACATACTGACCTTCAAGAGACAGTTCATAAATTCGTGACAAACTCTCGTGATGTATCTCGTCTTGGCTGGTGTTGAAGATCTCAAAGGGTGTTGAGACAGATTGCTGTTGATGCTGTGGCAGTGCTGTGAGAAGCTGTACGCTGTTGCCACTACTGAGAAAAAGCGCTGTGGTTAGATGGAGAGAGTGGGTGTGTGTGTGTGTGTGTGACTGAATATTCGTATATTCAGTCACAAACACACAGCGTTATATATACTGCATGAATAATAACAGAAACTCAAATTCGATGCAAATATATGAATAATTTTATGAAGAGATACAGAAAATGAAATACAGTTACTACTAATACTACTACCACCACTACCAAGGGCGGATCCAGGGATAATTATCAGAAGGGGGTGGGTCTAAGAATGTTGTGGGTAGGGGGTTACATGGCGAGCGCAGCGAACATATCCAGGGCGGGGGGCGGTTCAGCCTCCTCCCTCCCCCCCGATTTTTTTAACTGACCAATATCATGGGCATTTTGAGGCCAATTTGAAGCCAGATGCACTTGATATTAGGAGATATTCTGAAGTCCATAGTAATTACTCTTTACTATACAAAAACGCCTGAGTACAATACTGCAAAGAAAAAGTATTGTAATTTTCTGGTTAAAAGGGGGGTTTGGACCCTCCTGGATCCGCCCTTTACAATTACTACCCACCTGTATATGAACCACCAGCACACGGTCATCGCACCTGCCAGCATTACTGTCCGTATCACCTGTCTCCTCACAGCGTTGCCCAGGTGTTGTGGTGACCCTGTCAGGTAAAACATCAAACTGTCATGAGATTGAAAACTGGATGGTAGTCAGCCTGAGTCAGCTACGTGGGGCCGATGATTTTTTTTTGGGGGGGGGAATAAAGATGGTATCAAATTTAGAAAATATTATATATTCTACAACACACAATCTCCACTTTCTCTCCCTCGCCAACATACAACTTCCTCTTCCTCCCTTATGACCCTTACCAACACTCCACCTCCTCCCGCCACACGACTCTGATGTCGTCTAGTACTTTCTGGTAAATCACCCAAGTTTTTCCTTCCGCCATCCGCTACTTCCCCCAATTACCAGTGAGGGGACATTACACTCGCCAATTACCTGTACGAGAACCTTCCACCCACCCACCCCACCACTGCCGGCAGGAAGGTTGGCGGCTCCAGTTGGTGAAATAAACAAGATTTCTCTCCCTCATGCCTTAACATACAACACAGAGAAATTCCTCTTCCTCCCTTATATGACCAAGTGCTGGACATACCAAAACACTCCACCTCCTCCCGCCACACGACTCTGATGTCGGGTCTAGGAGGTACTTTCTGGTAAATCACCCAAGTTTTTCCTTGTCCGCCACATCCCAGCAATACTTCCCCCTAATTTGACCACGTGGTAGGGGTTAGCCTGGCATTACACTCGGCCGTGGAAAACCTGGATGGTCACGGGCACCCTATTTGACTGCATTGCAGGACAGTGTTGGCGTGCTCCAGTTGGTGAAATAAAGAGGATCGGATGGTAGGTAATTACACTGATAGTTGCAGGTCGATAGTGATATTCTAGCAGCACCCCCGTTGAAGAACACCAAGCTCACCACACCCCTGACTGTCTGCTGGGGGTGTACAGGTGGACAGACAATCTACAGTTAATATAGATAGCATACAGTATATGACGTGACGGCACTTCTGTCGGTGTAAAGTGTTGGGGGTTGCGTTTGAGTTTGTGGATATCTTTTGGAAGGAGAGTTGCAGTATTAACGAGAACTATATTGATCCTACCTCAAAAGTTACGTAACAAAATGTTGAATATTATCAGTGTCCTAAGTTACGTAAACACAGTAAGTGATGCTGTGTTGGGTCTAATTTTACGGGCACTTTTTTGTTTTACTTTCTATCACATGGTCTGAGTGATCCCCCTCTCTCTCAAACATACTGACCTTCAAGAGACAGTTCATAAATTCGTGACAAACTCTCGTGATGTATCTCGTCTTGGCTGGTGTTGAAGATCTCATGTTGAGACCTGTTGATGCTGTGGCAGTAGAAGCAACTACTGAGAAAAAGCGCTGTCTGAAGTGTCACAAACATTATGCATGAATAATAACAGAAACTCAAATTCGAGCACAGCAGTTACTACTAATACTACTACCACCACTACCAAGGGCGGATCCAGGGATAATTATCAGAAGGGGGTGGGTCTAAGAATGTTAGGGGACATGGCATATCCAGGGCGGGGGGCGGTTCAGCCTCCTCCCTCCCCCCCGATTTTTTTAACTGACCAATATCATGGGCATAGGCCAGTGGATATTAGGAGAATTCTGAAGTCCATAGAATTGCCTGAGTCAATAAAAGAAAAAGTGTAATTTTCTGCCAACGTATATGAACTCATCTGCCAGACTGTCCGTATCACACAGCGTTACAGGTAGTCACTGCAAGTCAGCTACCCGATGAGATCGTGCTGGGTGTATCAAATTTAGAAAATATTATATATTCTACAACACACAATCTCCACTTTCTCTCCCTCGCCAACATACAACTTCCTCTTCCTCCCTTATGACCCTTACCAACACTCCACCTCCTCCCGCCACACGACTCTGATGTCGTCTAGTACTTTCTGGTAAATCACCCAAGTTTTTTTCCGCCATCCGCTACTTCCCCCAATTACCAGTGAGGGGACATTACACTCGCCAATTACCTGTACGAGAACCTTCCACCCACCCACCCCACCACTGCCGGCAGGAAGGTTGGCGGCTCCAGTTGGTGAAATAAAACGGATGGTGGTAATTACACTGTAGTTGCAGGTCGTAGTGATATTCTCAGCACCCCCGTTGAGAACACCAAGCTCACCACCCCCTGACGCTGCTGGGGGTGTGGTGGACAGACAATCACAGAAATAGATAGCTACAGTATATCGTGGGATTCGTCGGTATTGGGGTTCGGGATTCAGGTTAGTTTGTGAAGTTTATTTGTGATCTTACTCGAAGCGTCGGTCACCTTGAGTAATTATTCCTAGAGTACAATTAACTTCAAGTGTAACATATGCCACTCGTACAGCTGCAACAGGTCGGTTATATCATTAAGTCGACAGTAGCGTGGACAGATGATTGTGGTCATAATGAGCCTCGAGACATTGCGGTTCTCTCGGTCTACATACAGGTAATTCACAGGGGAGAGGAAGGGAAGTACTTCATGCATGAGTCGTGTGATGTAGGATGTGAGGTTCGGTGAGTGGCGTCCTAAACACTGGCTGGAGCAGGAGTGAGGTGAGGTGTGGAGAGGTAAGACATGAGAAGAGATGTGAACCAATCCTAACCCCACCCTCAAGGAAGCGTTAGGGTGGTTAATCTTCAGGTGGAACAAACTTGAGGTGAGCGAAGGTGATCTAAAGTTTGTCTAGAAAGAATTCATCTTGGTGTGTGTGGCGTTATTATGGTCTACGCCCACCTGGTGCTTCATTATCTTGCTTACCGATGCTTACATGTCGTCTGTGAGAAACTTCAACTACCCTGGTGTGTTGATATTACTGGAGACATTTATCTTTTATGAACCTTTATGGGAGTGGATGTGTGATGGGGAAGGAGGAAGAGGGGAAGAATGAGGGGGGGGCCTGACGTTATCTGCCGGACAGGGTTGCCAGATGGCCGTTTCCACGGCCAAATTTCTCTATTAGGCCGTAAAAAACTTAGCCTGGCCGTGGAAAAATGGATGGTCACGGGCAAACTATTTGGCCGAATTTTGTAAAACACGTATTAATTCCTCATCTAGTGGATTTTGAAGAAAAGTCTAGCAGATTTTCAAATTTCACAATGAAAATGCTGGCTCAGTGACCTCACCTTGTCATGACCTCACCTAATCAGTGACCTCACCTCTTCACCTGTTTACGTGACCTACTGATCTTTCTAGTTACTACCTTTTTGTTAGTTCTCATATTTGAGTTGTTCAGGCTGAACGTGTCCAGCATATGGGTTAAGCTTCAGAGCTTACAAAGCCATCTGAGTTACTGTCTGAAATTCAGAGTGCTAGTTTTCAAAATGTCCACTAGTAAATGGAAAGGGTCCTACGAGTGGTAAAAAATATAACAAACCAGGGGACGATGGCGAACTAGTCGTTTTTGCTTCCGCCAACTAATGTTATCAAGTTCTCCACCATTATCATGCTCCACCACCATTTCAGATTAAGGTAAATCTTCACTGTTTATGTAATTATTGGGCTCTCAATTCTAAGTGAAAATTTGGTTTCATTACGACATTTTAAGTGGATATTGTAGGGGATACTTTTATTTTGTGTGGATTGCAAAAATAGCCTTGTGCTTCCCATCCAAAAAGATTTGGCCGAATTTTGGGCGATTTGGCCGAATGTTGGCCGACTTGGCCGTGAGATGGCGTGAAGCTTGTCGTACATCTGGCAACCCTACTGCCGGACGCTTCCCCACCAGGAAGTAAATGGATCATTTACCTCCCTACCTGAGCTAGTTACCTTATGGGCCGCTCGCTAATGACGGAGGAAGGGAAACACCAGAGGAGGATGAGGCAAAGAAATGAAGAAGACACTTACCAGAAAGAAAGCATATTACTGTACCTATAATCAAGATCTCATCGTCGCCTATAAAAACACTGCCCGTTACACACGCGCAGAGGCAAAGAACATCACAAAAACCCAAGTTTCTTGTCCCAGTTGTCTTACGGTACTTGGGGATGTAATTCACCACCATAGATTATTTCCATTTAAAATGTGACATGATTACAAGCATGAATAAACTTTTCCTCGTTAATGAGCTTATGTGAGGAAGAAATGCTGTCTTGATGCCGGTTGTGTGAAATATCTACCCATTTTCCCCAACAATATCATTAAAACGGAGGAAATTGCAAGTGTCAGTTCACAATATCCTTCATATTTTAATCTACACATGCTTATAATCAATCAGCAATATCCAAAATCACCTACCGCCACTTGTAAAGAATTGGAGGATATTCTTTTTTTAGTGAGTTTCTGTTCCCTGGTTCTGAGCATGGCTGGGTGTGTGTAGTACAGTATCGGGGAATAAATTTTTTGCGCTAGAAATTTTGCATAACACCAGAACGTAATGGTGATGATTTTAACTGTTTATTTTATGGTTTTCAGAACTGAGTTTGGGACCACAGCCTTAAAAACATTTGTTGTGCTGCTTTGGTTATGACTGGTGTTGAAGGTGATAGGATTATTATTGTAGTTGTTGATCGTGTTATTATTGTGGTTGCTGTTGAGGGTGGTGGGGTTTTTGTTGCTGTGGTTATTGATGCTATTGGAGGTAGCTATGGTTTTACTTATTTCCAAGCTACTGTTTATAAGAAATCAACTGTTGTACAGTAACTAAACCTGTCATGTGTTAAGACGAGTCAGGTTGTTTAGTGTTTGTTAGTGTATTATACTTGCAAAGACAGAAATGTTCACTACACTTCTTATGGATCTTTCTACTTACCCATTATGTAGGTGTCTACCTTCTTGGTCAGCTTGGAGTCAGATGTATCGTGTCTGAGGACCTTCTCTCTATGGCAGACCCCGCACGACTGATGGTGTGATGGCTTGGGTCCTTACCAAGAGTCCCTCGTTCCCGTGTTCCAAATATCATCATTAACTCGAATACGCTGAACAGCTTCAAACATAGGTTGGATGCTTATATGAGCAATAGGGGTTGGGTGTAAACGGGACTGCCCAGTATGGGCCAATAGGCCCGCTGCAGTTTCCTCCATTCTTATGTTCTTAATTACTCTTACAGCACCCCCACCGTCTCCCTCCCCCTCGGCCTCTGTACGGTGTTGGTCTCGGTAATGTGCTTCATTACGGCAAACTCATGGAATTGTCTAATTTTGCTGGTACAGTATTAATTTTAAATGAGGCGTTTCGTCCTTGGTTTTGTTTTTTTGCAACTGCAAGGTTCATGCGCGGTATTATACACTTTTGTGTTTGTTGTTATTATTATTATTATTGTTATTATTATTATTGTTGTTGTTGTTATTATTATTATTATTATTACACGTATGACTTGTTTTTATTACTCTTGCTTTTATTATTGTTATTTATCGGGTACTGAGAGACAGAAATAGTGAATGCAATGAGAGTTTTAGTAAAGAATAAGAGTTAATGTTTGTAGATGAGAAACAGTTAAGAATGTCTCACGTCTTGTCACATACACGCACCGTCTACAACACTTAGCGCATGTATCACATTCCCAAGCCACATTGCAAGTCACGTATGATTATTAAGATCGTGAACGTGTTTTATGCAGTATAATGCACTTGTTGGCCTGACCGTTCTAGTTTATACTCTAGGAAAATAGTGTAAAGTTGCTTTTCTTTTTGTCTATTGTATTTGATTGATTTATAACTGTTAAATATGACTCACGGTCACTTATTCACTCACTTAAGTCACTCCACAGTCATTCATTCACTGTTTACTCATTCATTGACTCCCCCGCTGAATCATTCACATAACCCACTCTCTCAATTTATGAAATAACTTGCTCTAATATTTAAAATATTCTTCGATCACCTGAAGATTAGCCCCCAGTTTATCCCACGTAACAAGTAGACACCCTAACGGTAACTTAACACCCAGGTGGCATTAGGGTGTTTAATCATCAGGTGAAATAAGCTGGGGATCTAATCATCAATGTAAAATAAGCTGGGGTATAATCATCAGGTAAAATAAGGTGGAGTACCTCATCAGGTAAACTAAGCTGGGGATCTAATCATCAATGTAAAATAAACTACAGTAGGGTATAATCATCAGGTAAAATAAGCTGGGGTCTAATCATCAGGCAAAATAAGCTGGAGGTCTAATCATCAGGCGAGGTGAAATAAGCTAGGGCTCTTTAATCATCAGGTGTAATAAGCTTGGGGCCTTATCACTGGGTGAATTAAGCTGGGGGTCTAGTCATCAGGTGTAATAAGCTTGGGGCCTTATCACTGGGTGAATTAAGCTGGGGGTCTAGTCATCAGGTGATCTCATTCTTCTTCACATGAGCTCTCTTACCATTATCTCTGGGTATCAAGATGTATAATTCAACCTCTTCTTCCTAGTGTAAGTTGGCTTTAGATACCAAACTTAAATTAGGTGGTTCATCCTGGAGATATTTTCACTTGGTCTTTTAGATTCTAACGAGGGACATTGTTCATAGGTTTAAGTCTCAATCTCAACTCCAGTTTTGTCATTTCTAAGTTAATGTTGACAATTAGAAAATACATGAGAGTGGGGGGGAGGGGTGATTGTGTTGAGATTACAGAGGTTAGCGGTGGGGAGGATATAGGCATTTACTAAAATCGTTCATGAATAGTTTGCAAAAACCAAGATGGACTGAGGTTACTGAGGAATGTAATAAAGTGATAATATTCCCCCCCCCCCAAAAAAAAAACATAAATGAAAGGAATATAAAAAACAATTGATGATGGAAATGTAGTAAATAATTTATGAAAGATAACCTCAATAATATACAAGAAAATAGTTAAAGAAATAATATAAAAGTAATATCAGAATGGGTGCGCATGACTGTCACTGGTAAAAAATATACATCGTATTTATGAAAATGATCGTGATGTTGTAAAACACAATCCCAGGATGTCTGTGTACACTCGCCTCAAAAAGTATCTTATGATTTTGTGTGAGACAATCTGACACAATGTACGAAGAAATCCGACAACCCTAGTGAGACAGCAGGAGTCGCAGTAGTGTTCATTTTGAAATTCATCGGACCACCTCCATAAAGATATTTCTGGAGCGAGTGTACAGCGTTCAGTTCTTGTACGTGAATGTCAGAGATGCTTCAACTGATTCAAGTTACGTCATTCATCAGCTAGTGAGTAATGAAACCGGTGAAGAATAATGAGGATGGTTATGGAAGAATTTAAAATAACAACTCTTAAGTGTACCAACAGTGTCCTCATCCCAAAACGACTCTCCTTCTACTTCAATACAAAAATATATATCGAGTTAATAAAATTTATACCAACGAAGGAAAACTTATGCTTTCAAAATAGTGCATACACATTCTATAAGGTTAAAAACAAACAAATATATCTCTCAGCAAAATACTAACAAATTCCTCTCAGCAAAAAACTAACATAAATTCTTCTCAGCAAAACTAACAAATTCCTCAGCAAAAAACTAACAACTTCCTCTCAGCAAAAAACTAACATAAATTCTTCTCAGCAAAACTAACAAATTCCTCAGCAAAAAACTAAAAGAATCCTCTTGGCAAAAACTAACATAAATTCCTCTCAGCAAAAACTAACAAATTCATCTCAACAAAAATTAACATATATTTCTCTCGGCAAATATAACAAGGGATATATTTGGTATCAACGTAAATACACAGCATCAACTACAGTATTGGAATAAACACAACCATTAGAATAGTAACTGTCCCCTATTTTGTGAAGACGGTCACTGGCAAAACTAACGAGGTCCAGTACTGTCTTGGGCATGTTTCCTAACTTCATCTCCCCTTAAAGTATGTTAAACGTACCCCGCAAAGTTTGGGCAAAGACGCTTATCTTCTTAATTAGTAGAAAACCCTAACTTAACCAAAGGAACCACCCGACCTGACCTAACTTATCCTAGCCAGAATAAAAGTTTCAAGATCTTTCCAATTGATGAACAAAAAAAAGATCCGTTCCCGAAACAATAATAACAACCATAGGTTATGTGATACATTGGTCCGTTGCTTCAGTGGAACTTTAACAAGAAAAACACATACAGAACTCATTCCCTCCCTCCCTCCCTCCATCACTTCCTACCTCCTTCCTCCATCATTTACTACCTCCTTCCCTCCCTCCCTCCATCATTTACTACCTCCTTCCATCCCTCCCTCTGTCACTTTCTACTTCCTTCCATCCCATAATTTTATTTCATCACAAAATCAAATCAGGGATGGATAGTTGCACTTTCCTTCTGGATAAAACTGGTACAGAATCTACACCTGCACTGTCTGACATATTATTGAACTGTGTTACAAGTAAGTGTGTTCTGGCTCACAGCACCACCAAAATATTACACTAATAATTACAAAGTCTCTATACATGACCCTGCAAATACAAGCTCTTAAATCCTGTAAGTCAGTATGGAAGGTACAGATCCACTTTGTGTAATGTACTATACAGACAAAATGAGGATATGAGCAAGTATGTGATGATTGATATTTTACCTGTTGCCTCAGCCCTTTTCTGTCACTTTCCCAACTATGTGATGATATTCTACCTATTATCTCAGCCCTTTTCTTTTACTTTCTACAATTGTATTACACCATATTCTCCCTGTTCCTTCATCCACCCCATACAAATGTAAGAAAAGAGTAAAGATACCACAGAATATACAATCACACACCAAAAAGCACAAAGTTCTGCCAAAATGTTAAGTATATTATTGGTTTTCCTTTGAGGAGGCATCAATACAATTTGTACACAACAATGAATCACATATGAAGGATACACAACATACATAACACTGTCTGTTTGGTGAAATATACAGTGAGAGAGTCTTGTCTATAGATGGTGGTAAAAAATTACCATCTAGAGATTGATGTCTCTCCTCAGTACACATTGACGTCTCTGATCAATACATACAGTAGACCCTTGCCATTTGTGAGGGTTAGGTTCCAAGAAATGGCACGAATTGGCAAAACCGCAAATAGCAACTTATACTCCCTCCATGCACTACTGTATACCTATACCAAACAACTGACCAGCTGTGGCAGCATTCATCCCCTCTTTTAACTTATCTAATAATAAAACGTTCTTTGTCAGGGTCATCACTGACTTCTGCTTTTAACATTTCACTCCACTCGCATCACTAGCACTGACACTAGGAAGTCTTTTAGGTGCCATTTCACACAGAAACACTGAAGCTTTGAGAGTATAACATGAGATGTTGCGTGGGGTGACCCGTTGTGCTACAGGAAAAGGCTTGCAAGCTAGCCACCACCTGCTTACTGCGAATCGTCGAAATCACGAATCGCAAACTCGCGAATGGCAAGGGTTTACTGTATGCAGGTCTGGGAGGAGAGTTTCACCTTAAGCTCCAAATTACTGTTTATATAAAGTCCTAAATCTTAAAATTCTCACAAATACTATGTCTTCATTCTCGCTCTATATAAATATTTACATAACCTGAAGATTAGCCCCAAAGCTTAATTCACTTTAAGATTGACCTGACCTAACCTCCAAAGGTAACAGTAGGGTGATTAAGCTTCAGGTGAAATAAACAGAGGGGAGCTAATTTTCTGTTGTTCTAAATATTTTTGATCGATGGTATAAGCTGTTGACATCAATATTTATTTACTGTACTAACTTTCCTTCCTCAATTCCTACTTTTGTTTAGGGTGGATCATTGGTAACTTTCACTCTGAGAAAACAACTGAATTTAAACAGTGAAGAGACATATATACAGTAGTAAGTATCGGCACATATTAGTAGTCACACATGACAAAAGACAATTATGAATACTGAACTGCTTAGAGAAATTATATAAACCATAAATAACCATAAAAAAACATAAACATCCCTGAAGAGAAGATCACCAGAGGAACCCATAAGAACAAAATGCTCTTTTCTATTATAGTACTGTATATCGTTTACTCCTTTTTGTGCCACATCCCCTCACCAACCCATCCACCCCCCCTCACTCCTCAAGATCTGGGGGTGGAGAAGAAGTGACCACATTATGCCCAGTTTCTGAATAATTATCCAAGAGTCAAAATTTCTACCATAAACAAATCCTCTTAACTTGCCATTACTTGTCAATATCCTGTACAGAGGAAATTTTATTTGAAAAAATATAAATTAAGAAAAGATCGTTCAGATACTGGTATTGACAATATGAAAAAAATCATTTAGGCACAGGTACAAATTCTTTACGTCGCTGCCAATACACCATCAACGCTAAACAGGTTTACATAATTTATTTTTACGGCTGTTGAACGTACAAATCGCATTCACTTATATCTGGTACAGTGGTTGGCTCATGTTAAAACTCCCAGAATGGCTCTAAGGAATGTCACAATAGTAGACAGACTAAGGATGCTAGATAAGCATTCCAGAGTTGTCACGTCTCTCAATACACACCAGCCACTGTACCAAGTATAAGCGCAGACGGCTGCTTCTGAAACAAGAGCACCACATCCTTTAAAACAACCATATATTCTCAAGACACAAACACAGTACACAGTATTAACAATAGTTCTGTCACTGTGTATAACTAATAAATAATTGCTTGTTCCAATATATTATTTTTTCTTTTTATTATCATTTCTACACTCAGCTTTAAAATAACATTAATCATAAAACAGATCCTATTGTAACCCAGACAGACAGTCAATCACTCCATTTAGACACAGCCCATGCTGATGGAGGAAGACTCTGTAATCTCTTAATAGTTGGTAGTCCCCATTGCATCCACAGGAACCCAAACGTCATCAACACCACACTCTCTATGTAGTACCCATCCACGGTTGTGTGGCAAGTACCTCCCCCCGCCTCACACGCCTGGAAATAACATGTGGAGTGGTATTACACTTCCTTTGGTAAATAACGTGTAACACTTCGTACTACATCCCACTTCTAATTGCAAACATACTACACTTCCTCAATGACCACTTAACTATTCCTAATCATGTCAATAAATTTTCACAATCAAAAGGAAAAACTTTTTTTTTTTTTTTACATTCCACAGTTGCTCACTCCTACTCAGCAAGTACCAGGGGTAGAGCTGATGAGGAAGATATGATAGCAGTGTTCTACAAGGTATCCCCCTATTTACAATGGGGTTAGGTTCCTGAAAAAACCCATTGAAGGTTGATATACCGTAGATCGCGATCATTTTAACATGGGGTTCAATGGGATATGTTCCCAGCCAGTCCAAATCCACATATATCACAAAAAAATTATAAAAATCCTTCACTAATAATACAGTACTGTATATATATATATATATAAAACAATTAAACAACACTCACCACATCAATAAAAACACAGCTCACTTCAGTCACAAAAACAGAGCAAATGATGATAACATAAAAACAATGATAGCAGCTACCACAGCTCACATCATGTTGACAACAATAAACATGTGCAGCAGCCACCTGGTGCACTACAGTACCCAGCTATGTTCTATGGTGATGCCACATGGCCACGATCGTGTAACTCAAAGATTATCGGTCATGGGTGTTTTTTTACCTAACAGTGCAAGGACATCACTAATGTTCACAATGTACAAAGGTAAATCTAATGAAAGAATAAGAGAAAAAATCAAACCATCTCACCAAATTCAAGTCAAGATTATGTAAACTTTAACTAACCTTTTCTTCCTGAGCACTGTCACAAGAGAGGATATCCATCACCCCGGTACAAGATTTCCAAGTCAGTTCCGAGACAAAGCGTAGTGCTATCCAGGCTGGCCAGTTACCCCCGAGGTTGGTGAAGGTGTTGAGGAGAGTCATGTAAGTTCCCCCCACGCTCGAGTCGCTGATACGGGCGAAGAATGCCATCACCCCCACGAACATACAGTTGACGAACACCTGAAATATGAAGTGACATAAAAAATTAAAATACCAACTACGGTACCTGTGTATTACTTTAAGTGACAGCAGAAATGATAAGTCTGATTATTAATATCACTGCTCCAGGACAAAATTTACAGTTCATTTGATGTTCCTGTGCCGCTGTGTATAATCTATTTGATGACATTACATTATAGGTAACATGTTAAAGACTGAGGCCAGCCGTGAGTCCTACCTGGTGTATGAGGTAGATGACGATGATGATACCGTAATAGTATAGAGGGTAGGAGCCGTCAGCTGCCTTAAACATAGGTGTTAACCAGACCAGCCCCGCAAATACCAGCCCTAACAACAATCTGTAAAATAAAACTCATGAATACTGATGGGGCATATAAACTCGTTTAGAAACGTGGGATTGATTCTGATATTGTATTTTCTGGTCGAGTTCACAGTCAGACAGAATAGGGAGTGATCTTACAGTCAGCCATCCTTCCCCCTGACACCCATCAGCCTCAGAGTGAGATCAGACACACAGTTTGCCCTCTGAAGGCAGGAGATCTAGCAGTACTTGTGTCCACCTGGTCAGTCTACACCTCTTATTAAATTCCCAAGACCAATCTGCTATTTGTATTATATTTCCAGCTAATGAACCACAAACCCTAAGGAGGAGGAAGGGGTGTCCAAGCAACCTGACAATGAACTTAGTGAGAAAATAGGATATCAAGATCAATCAACCATTACTAAGTAGATGTCTTCCACCAGACACAACTAAAACAACAGTAGTAGGTAGTAGTGGTTCCAGTCTATGTTGACATACAGTACACCTTACACAAGTTACCCCAGACAAACACCATGGAGAGGTCGAGTGCTGAAAACATACTGACGTGCAACACTCATAAACCCCCAAAGTTCTACAGTGTTATTCTTAAATCAAGTCCTGGGAACCTTGATTTTCAACTGTGGTGCCTTCCAAACCAGCTACGATACATATGTGCTACATACATATTTGCTAATATACTTATCTTGTACATACTGTAAAGTAAACAAGTGAATAGTTTACACTGTGTAATGTTAACAAAGTTGACATAATAATGATTGAACTTAATGGTAACTATTTTCTCTCATTTATGCCAATCTCTTTAAAATACAACACATGAGTCAGCAATCTATTTCCTGTACTTCACATTACTCTATGAGGAAGCAAAAAGAACACAGTCGTACCTTAGAGGATATCCGAACATAAAGGGATTGAGAGGTTTGGGTCCAGCAGTGTAGCGGGAGATGTAGAAGGGAAGGAGCACTTGGACAGGGGTCATGGGGATGGACAGAAGAGCTAATCTGTCCTTGGGCACACCACTGTCTGTCAGCTTCAGGACTGTTAGTGAGTCAGCAGCAGCGAACCCGATCTGAACGGGGGAGATTTGGCACCAGTGATGTAGTTGTGGCTATAAACGAGACCACTTGTAATTTTACCTTTATGGATCACCTGAAGAGTACTTCCCCACCATTTTAAGCACCCTGAAACTATCAAGAGGAAAGGGGGTTTAATATTCAGTTGATTCATAAAAGCCAAAATTGTGAAAGGTCTAGTTCATAGTTTTGCCTATCTCATTGTAACCTGCATTAAGAGGAACACACAAACTGATCCTAGAGAAAATGAATGACAGTGAAAGACAGATGAGTCTACACTATACTGATCATGATAGGTTACACTGGACAGAGGTTAGTTAGTAAGAATCAGCAACTCAGAGGATATTGTATCATCATTATTACAGTACAGTATATAACTAAAAAGTACATAATGATGTTTGCAAAATCCCCTTCTGTAATTAAGAGTGTGACAAGAATGAGACCTGGAAAGAGAATATTATCTAGATTTAAACATTAAGGTTCAGAATGCAATAGTAGTATACTTCAAAGAATGACCAAAAGCCCTTTATGCTACGACACGTCCAATAAATCCATGATAATTAGACGCACGGTAAAGTGTGTGTGGGAACTATGTTGTAACGGCCCCCACACATTATAAAATACACGAGATACATCAAACAACCCACATAAACCCTCACCACTCACCTTACAAGTTAACAGCACCAGAATTAAGTCTCTCATCGTCTTCATCTTCAGTACACGACCCAGGATCTGGTATGTCCCAATCAAGCCGAAGTCAGGTTCATCAATCTCAACCTATCAGGAGGAGAGTGAGTTGATGAAAACTTCACACACACACATCAAGTCTCTGTCCTTTCATATTCACAAATTTGAACTTTACTAACTGACGTAATGATTTTCTTCTCTAATCCACAACCAAACACAAAAATCTGCCTAAGAGAGAGAGATTACAGATTAGTGAGGTTTTATTATATAGTATTTGTGACTGATAGCTGAGAATATATAGAGAACATCTACTTAATGGCCACACAGCTCACACACCTCTGAATCGTCCTTCTCGTGCTTAAATAACCAAACAGCTGTTGTCGTGGTGCAGAACACAATGCCCCAGAAATAAAGGAAACCTGGAAATAAAAAAATAAACAATTATAATAATCTACGTCTACATCATAAAAACCAAAAGATGGAAACTGGATCCTAATAAAAGTAGGACTATGACAAGAATTGGTGATGTATTTATGGTTGTTCGATATATTCAAGGATGGGTCAGTCCAAGATGAGAACAAGGGTCAAGGGTAGGGTTGCCATACGTCCGTATTTTCCCGGACATGTCCTCCATTTAGGTCTCGAAATCTTCGTCCGAAAGTAATTTTTAAAATTCTTTAAAAGTCCGGAATTTCAGCTTCCATCATTTTCTCCACGGAAAAAAAACATGAAACTGTAATGACGAGAGAGAGAGAGACTGTGAGAGAGGGGAGGTGGAAACCGTAGAGATCTCGTTCAGTTGTCTTCTGGAGCGTCCTCTTTTTTTAATGTTCAGATATGGCAACCCTAGTTAAGGGGATGAGTGCAAGTTTGATAAATACAGTAATGATCCTAATATTAGAGAGGTACATCAGCTGTGGGAAGGAAACCTCTTTATAAATATCTTTAGATGCATAATTAAGTATAAATTTTGTAAATACAGGTACTTCAAAAATAAAAAGGACTAAATATCTTTAGAAACAGAGAGACACTTGCCTGGAAGAGTAACTAGGGAGTCATTTTGGCCAAGGTAATTGACACAGAAGTCCTTCGATTCCAGGGCCAGGAACACCACATACCCCAGGAAGTACCCGGCTGTCTGACCCACAGAGTTACAAGTTGATGCCCACCCAACATTTTCTCTGAGGATAGACATTCATTATTCAAAATCTTACTTAAATACAGTGAAAGTAGTACAGTATGGTAGAGATACAGTATAAGAAAAAGCTGCCTAAAAACAATCCACTCATAGACACAGGAGGATCAATCATCAAGTTGTTCGAGAAACCACAGGTGTCTCTCAGCTCTCTAATGACTTTACAGATATCTTAGCACACTTATCATACACCAAAAAAGAGCTGTAATGAAAGTGATGGTTGGCTCATTTCAAGAGACACTGTACGTCACCTGGAGAGGATGGTGAGAGCCCAGCCATCAACAGCAATGTCCTGTGTGGCGGCCAAGAAGTTGAGGGCGAAGAAGACACAAGTGATGAACGCCACATTAGGAGGATGGTCTGAGCCCTCTCCTAGAAGCTCATTGACGTTTGGTGACAGTAGCAACATAAACAATCCTGGGAACAAATAAATTAAGTAGAGGCTCACTATATCGGACACTCGATATATCAGAAATCGGCTTTATCAAACCAGCCTTCACCCCAATTAGTCCGATAAATCAACATTCAACTACATTACATTCATGACAGTTTTCAGGATCAATAGAGGACATGAGATGGGTGCACAAATGAGAGACGATGGACCAAATAATCTGCAACTGTGTGAGGCATGTCAGAATATTTAAACCTTTATCTAATGGTGGATAAAAAGTTATATTATTTTATCCTTAATGTCTCGCTCTTCTTTTTTTTACCAAACATCCTTCATCTGGTCTTATTCTAATTTTCATCTTCCCCTTTTTATCCAAATTCTGTGGTCAAATCACTAGAGTTGACTGTACTCTGACTACTGTGCAATCCATTGATGCTGTGTCCTCACTCCCAACCCTCTATAATGTACAGTACTGTGCTAAACTATTGTTCTGTTCATCATGCCCCTATATAACTCCCTGTTCATCTACAATACATCCACTCACAACTTCAAAATCACAACCACTGCCAACTGGAGAAACATAACATCTGATGCAGCCAGATTTCAGGCACACAAAATGTCATACAACCTACTCAAATACCTGTATATACAAAACTCTTCTCTAAAACTAACATGTAAGTAAACATTTTCCTTAAGTTTACATTTTATGAGTAAATCTCCCTTGGCATCAACACATCTCTGAACTTGTCCAATCTAATTAAACTAATAACCTTAAATTTCAACATAGAGATACAGTATACAAAATGTGTTCATCAGGTTTGTAAAATATCAATGACAGAACAACCTCAAAAACACACACACACCTATGAGATATTGGGCTGGGACAAGCCATGATTTACGTCGCCCGATCTTCTCAAAGTAGACAGAATCAACTAGGGGCGCCCATAGCAACTTGATGCTGAACGGCCAAAATGCTAAACTGAAGGTGGCCTGTGGAGAAGAGGGCTATGTAAGTGACACAATTATGACAGTAACAAGTACCTGTATAATGTTACCTACTGATATCACTGAAAGTAAAGAAATTACCCAAAAATTTCAAAAAAATTTCTTAAAATATATATTAATTATATTCCTTCATTCATAAAAAGATGAAGACAAAAATACTTGGTAGGTTAATGTTTTGGTGAAATAAGCTGGAGTGCAGACTCTCAAGAAGATCCTGAATTAACACAAAAACACCAGAGAGAGCCAATGAAAAACCACAGGTGCCGTGTAATTAGCACTGCAAAACTAATTAAAATTTTCCGAGTCATTACAAGTACCGGGTAATTACCCACACATCAAATTCTTAACCACGGATCCTTAATTAACAAATTCAGTAGTACAGTGGGTCACGATTTTTCACAATTTGACTCATCATAAGTACTGTACCTACATTACTCTCACAATTTTAAATTTTGGCGGTTTAGTGTGATATATACTACTTGGGCAGAGTATTACCCAAGATGGATCAAGACCAGATGTCAATCATGGACTACAGTACTTGGGTCCACCTACAGCTGTTAGAGGTTGAGTTTATAATTATCCAAACAGTTAGGCCCTGAAGCTAACAACAGTAATTACAGTAAAAGTCAGATTATCTGTCTAAAGGTGTTGAGGATACAATACAGTGCTGTAGGTACATTAACCGAACAACCAGTGAGGAAGAGAATAAAGTGAACACTTCTTAACACAACTTGTTCTCACTTCAACACTAATGCCATCAATTCCAGACACACATTAACAAATTACAACTCACCTTAAGTCTGAACACCTGGTTCCTGGAGTACAGGTGTTCAGACTCAGGAAGCGGTAGCTTTATTATTGTGAAGGTACCTGACAGTAGTGTGTACTCTATTATTGTACTATATTTCTGTTATTTGAGTAAAATGTTGAGTAATAGTGAGAGTATTTTGAGGAGCTACTGTACTGTATGTATGGCATAACAGCTGTTTTAAATAATGTATTCTAAATGTGTTGTAATTATTTCAAGGGTCATTTATAAACACTAATTAAGAGCATAGTACCTGTACCTGTAATTGAATTAGACATTTTTAACCCAGATCCTTAATCACTAAGTCAAGGAATACCTTTGTAAGAAATTTGAAAAAAAATCTAAACTTTCAGTCAAATCGCTACACCAGACTAGAGCAATGGTACAGTACAGTACCTGGTCCTTATAAGACACATGTCTGTTCTGGAGGATCATGGGGATGCTGCCGGCCAGGCCCAGAGGTATACCCTGCAACACGTACAGGAGGAGCAGCAACATGACATTTCCTCGGTCGCTGCCTAACCCTCTTGATTCTGTCTCATGGTGGATATTTTGTCCTGTAAATAACTTGGATATCAGTAATTGTTTGTTATAGTTTTTTATTCTTTATTCTGTTCTCTATCT